GGGCGGGGTAAAAGAACCCCAAATAAATAAATAAATAAATAAGGATGATGGAAGACTTTTCAATTTAATGCTTTTGGAATGGCTTTGCTGTCTCTTTTATTACCAAAAAAGACAGTGATACAGTCAGCTTATATTTGTAATCAGAGAATCCATGTATGAGGAGAGGGTTACCCATTGTGTTTCCATCATAAAACTGCCTAGTGTATTCAACATCCTTGTCTAAGATTGTCTGAAGTGTAGTTTAAAAGCAGGACTTCAGGACACAATCCTAGATCCATATTAAAGCACCAATATTTTAAGATTTTATTGGACTGGTAATTTTCTGATATTATAGCAGTTCGAAAACATGCAAATGTGAGTAGATCAATAGGTACTGCTTTTATGGGAAGGTAATGGTGCTCTATGCAGCCATGCTGGCCACATGACTATGGAGGTATATACGGACAACGCCAGCTCTTTGGCTTAGAAATGGAGATGAGCAACACTCCCAGAGCTGGACACGACTGCTGTTAGTCCCAGCTTCTGCCAACCTAGCAGTTTGAAAACATTCAAATGTGAGTAGATCAATAAGTACCGCTTCTGTGGGAAGGTAACAGCACTCCATGCAGTCATGCTGGCCACATGACTTTGGAGGTGTCTACGGACAATGCCGGTTCTTTGGCTTAGAAATGGAGATGAGCACCAGCCCCCAGAGTCGGACACAACTAGACTTAATGTCAAGGGAAACCTTTACCTTTACCATAGATTACCATCTAGACCAGCCACCACATCCTTGTTTTACTACCAGGGTAGTCTGCAAGTATTCAAAGCCTTTACATTTTGCTCACAAGTACTGATTGGGTACTGTAATTCACCAATTTCAGACTTAGAAGGTGTGGAAATAGCTGCAGATAAAGAGGTGTCATGGGCTAATTTACTGCAGGGTGGGTATTACATGGCTCTCCAGATGCTGTTGGACTGCACTTCCTAGTACCCTAGCCAATGGTGAGGAATGCAACATCTGGTGAGCCACATGATTCCCACCCTGATCTTCTTTACAGAAAGATTTGATATTGTAACCCCCCACCCCCTTCCTGGAGATAAATCAAGATCTTTTTTCTAGGAAATGTTCATACAAACCTCTGAAAGAGTATCGCTACTTGTGAACAGAAGCTGAGAAATAAATGGTCTTGATTTGTTGTTATTACAAAACTAACAATGCTTACTTCAAAGTTTCTGATGTTTTTGTTGCATTAGTCTTGAATTGCATTTGTTTCTAGAATAGGAGTTACTGAATTTGAGCTACCTTGTTTATTTGAAATTTCACAGAACTTTGCATTTCTGTGTAAGTGCTTTGAATAATTTGCAAAGTGGTTGGTAAAGCAGACGTAGGTGGAAAATCTAATCTCAAGGAAGGTTTTTTTAAAATTTCCTCAAACTGTAGGAAGGTTTGTTCATATGTTTGCAGTAGATTACTGAAGTATGGTTTGAGATAAAAAGAATTTTCCTACAAGTTGTGTGTGTGTGTGTGTGTGGGGGGGGGGGGGTGCTTGGCATTTGTGAGCTGCGGGAAAAAAGATTGCAGGGATATAACTTCTGTTTCTTATATTCTGTTTATACTGTGTAAAATATAAAGAACCATGGTATTTTTGATGTCATGATCTGCAGCAGCTTTGGAAGGCAATCTGCACACATGAAAATGTTACCCTGCCCTCCTCTGTGATTTAAGTCATGGACAACCCCACTCCCTATGCAATCCTCTTAGTCCGCTGGCTGGAGCAGGAATGTCCTCCCTGCTGGATTGCAAAGGGCAGTTTGGTGCCTATGATCATGCTGCACACTGTCATCTTCCAAGTTGTTAACTCAGAATGAAAGGCTCCGATAGTCAGGATTCAGCTAGCAAATGATTATTTTATAGTACCAGAAACAGCTGATCCAACCCCATTCTGTAGTCTTGGCACTGCATAAAAGGTGTCCCTGTTTGTGGGGCCTATCTAATAGTCCGGTTATCTTCAGGCTAGACAGTAACAGGGCATCACCTCAACCTTTTTTGTCTGGAGGGCAGGGGAGAAATCGCACCCTTCAACTGCGGGAACGAACCAGTGTTGCTCTTTTAGGATGTCTGAAATGGAAACTGTGAACTCGAATGTGAAAACAAACTGTCAAAATGGACAGTCTGTTAGACTGCAGGGAGAAGGGCCTGATTGAATCCCAAACTTAGTTATAATCATTTTTATTGCTGACATATGTATAACTGAGGAAAGTGAGCCCCCATTTCACATACTGAACAACATTTATGGATTGTCCCCTCGGGGAGAGAGGGCGGAATATAAATAAAGTTTTATTATTATTTATTATTATTTACGGATTCTGATGTGGCAAATTGTGGACTGGAGGGAGCACATAAGCTCTATAAATAACACAGAGTCTCCATCAGAGCTCAGGAATTGGGGGTAGAAGAAAATAAAATTAATATTTCTTTATCCATAAACATAACATGAGCATGTTTACGTCATGCAATGCATGCAGAGTGAGCTATTTGATGTAGTGCAATGAATGGATCCTGCCGACAGTAGTAGAAAAAGAGCAGTACATACTGCAATGTTATGCATTGTGCATCATGCAATGCAGTTGTGTGATGTACCTTACAGTCATATTACACATTGTGCGCTGTTGTTTCTCATTGTGTATTAGACATTATGCATTGCACAATGGCACTCAGTCATTCACATGCAGTTCACAACGTTGCTATTCTGCATGGTGTTGCATAGTGCTGATGTAGCATAGTTTTTATTAGATGCATATATTTTTATTAGATGCTGAGGGAAAATTGGATTGCAGCCACAAGCTGTTAAAAAAGGATAATAAGATACGGTAACTGTTTTAGTACATCATACTATGAAAGAATGAAATTATCATGTGCCCTGCCTGAGACCAGATATAAACCAGGAGATAAATGCTTAGACTGATCCGTAGACACAGCCTGCTGCTAATCCAGGAGTCCTCAAACTAAGGCCTGGGGGCCGAATGCGGCCCTCCAAGGTCATTTACCCGGCCCTCGCTTAGGGTCAACCTAAGTCTGAAACTACTCGAAAGCACCCAACAACAACAACAACAACAACAACAACAACAACAACAACAATCCTATCTCATCAGCCAAAAGCAGGCCCACACTTCCCATTGAAATACTAATAAATTTATATTCATTTTAATTATTGTATTGTTTTTAAGTGGTTTTTGCACAACAAATCTATGTGCAGTGTGCATAGGAATTCATTCATGTTTTTTTTCAAATGATAATCCGGCCCTCCAACAGTTTAAGGGACTGTGACCTGGCCCTCTGTTTAAAAAGTTTGTGGACTCCTGTGCTAATCCATAGGTTGTGGAGGAAGATTAGGACAATGCAAACATTATAGCAACATTGTATTACATAGTCACAAAAATAGCCCTTACTTAGATGATTTTGCACTTCAAAAACAGAAGTGTAAAACTCTGTGAACAAAACCACACACCTAACTGGTTAAAGAAAAAGCCCTGTCCATACAGTGTTGTGCCCATCACCATCCAGATGTCTTTTTTGGATGGATGGTTGGTCAGGAGCTGTCCCCTAGCCCAACCCCTCCCCCCCATTATAGTTGTCAAATCTTAGAAAGATTTTCTGCTTCTGCTGGTTATTTGTGGGGAAGGGAAAACGTAGGGAGGCAAATGAACCATTGACAATTGAGTTCAATCTTGGCTTAAAAGGGCTCTCAGCGATCTTTTCACCTTGCATTCTATGAACTGCTACCTCTTCCTTCCCTCCCCACTGATTAGACTAGGCATGGGCAAACTTTCTAACTTGGGGGCCGCATGCTAGCACTCCCTGCTAGGAGGACTGGCTTCCTGGTGATGGAAGAAAGGAAGGGAAGGAGGAAGAGAGAATGAAGGAAGGACAAAAGGGAGGAAGAGAAGGATGGAAAGAGAAAGAGGGGGAGAGGGAAGGAGGAAGGAAAGATGGAAGGAAAGACAAAAGGGAAGGAAGGGGCATGAAGGAGAGAGGAAGGAAAGAGGGAAGGACGAAACGGTGGAAGGGAAGGATGGAAGGAGATAGAGGGAAGTAAGTAGGAAGGAAAGAAAAACGGGAGAGAAGGCTGAAAGGGTGGAAGGGAAGGATGGATGGAAGGAAGGAGGGAAGGAAAGAAAGGAGGAAGGAAAGAAAGAAAGAAGGGAGAACAAAAAGGTGGAAGGGAATGGAGGGAGAGAGAGAAAGGGAGGGAGGGAAGGAAAGATAAAAAGGTGAAAGGGAAGGAAGGAGAGAGGGAGAAAGAGGGAGGTAAGGAAGGGAGGGGGAGAAGGAGGGAGGAAGGAAAGAGGAATGAAGGCTAGGATGGTGTGTGAGAGAAGGGCCTGAGAAAAGAGCCCAGGGGGCTGCATTTGGTCTCTGGGCCTGGGTTTGCCCATACCTGGATTAGACACATTTGCAATGACCTCTATTGTTGGGGTTGAAATTTTGAAGGTTGCACAAAGAGCTACAGAATAATACCATATCCTTCTTTGAAAAAAAGAGACACAAGTATGCATAAACCACATTTATACACGTGCAACAGACAGGGAGAAAACCAAGTTTCTCACCACCAAGATCATAACATCACCTTTTTTACCTGTGCAGATTTTGTTTTCCTACTTTAATGCTTTTCTCAATCAAAAAGCAAGTTTTAATGGGTGTAAATCTGTGGGCCACAACCAGGATCAATGAAATGTCTGACTTAATTAGCTATGATGTATCACAGCTATTGTTGTTGTGGTGGGGGCAGGGATGGTGCTGGGGGAGGGGATTCTGTGAAGTATGACTCGTGCCAATAAAAGTACGAATCAACTCTGTTTGTGCCAGATATTAATCTTGACTTTAAATGGAAGTGGGAAATGTAAGCAATCATTAGGATGTCGGCCTGGAGGCTATACTCCCACAACTGGGAGTGGTGCTTTTATACATCTGGGAAGCTGAAGATGGACTGATGTTTCTGCTGCCGGTTTTCTTCTAGGGCGTAATTGCAGAACTGAAAGTGAAAGGTGATCCTCGAGCAGCTGAGCTCCAGTGTGAGGAAGATGAAGATGATTCTGATATGGTAAGTGGATCTCCCTTTGGCAATCTTTAGGCATACACACACATTGAAAGTTCCTTGCATTGGGTCAGCTTTGTTGTGTTGTAAAAACACCATTTAATCATACGTCCCCCCTTCAGATCTGCTGTGGCTGCAAAGAGGAGCTTCCAAATAAACTACAGTTTGCTGTTTCTTCTGAATATTGATAAATCGTAATATATCTTAACTCTGATAAGTGGAAGCACGCAAAGTTCAAACCATGCTTTATGAAGCTATCATGTTTTTACAAAACATAGTTAAGATTAATCACATCTAAGAATTCAAATTACATGCTAAACTGCAATTAATTTAAAAGAAAAGCATCAGAAAGTGGGAAGCACACAAGCTCAGGTGGAATTATGAGTCATGCTGGGAATTGTTGTCCAACAGCGCCTGAAGGGAGTGCACAATTTTGTTCCTGAGCCCTTTCAAATGACAGAATTATAACACGGTGATTTCACTTTAACTACCATGGCACAATGTTCTGCGATCGTGGGATTTGTGGTTAATGGAGGGATAGCCAGTGTAGTATAGTGGTATGAAACCAAGGTTGGATTCCCCACTCAGCAATGGAAACCTACTGGTTGAGTGTAATATGAAGGGACCCTATATGTAGGCCAATATTCTCTACTCTGCATGCCTATTCCAGTGGTATGTAGAGGTCATTCCCATTCCTCCTCTCTGTGATTCTTTAACTAGGGGTGTTAAGGATTAAACCTTGGACTTTATATATGTAAAGCCAAGTATACTAAGACTGAACACTGACCTTTCCCATAACATAGCTTAGGTTTTGGTGTAGGATTTTCCCAGAAATTAGATGCAAATGAGCAGGAAATTTTCTGAATGCAGATGTAATGAGATTCCAGGACAGGAGATCAGCATTATGGGCTAATGAGAAAACAAAAACAAATCCATTTGTTCACAACATACTTTTTTTCTATTAGCGAGGCACCTAGGCTTTGGGTTTTTATAGTGCGTAAGATATATTTGTTGTATGAAATGAATGGCCTATTTTCTTGAATCATAGAATTCTAGAGTTGGAAGAGACCACACAGACTGTCCAGTCCAAATCCCTGCCATGCATAAACACACAATCAATGCACCCCTGACAGATGGCCATCTGGCCTTTGCTTAAAAATCACTACATTCTGAGGCAGAATATTCCAGGGCCGAACAACTCTTACCACCAGAAAGTTCTTCCTAATGTTTAGGTGGAAGCTTTTCCTGTGATTTGCTCCATTTTTCCTAGCCTCCAGAGCAGCAGAAAACAAGCTTGCTTCCTCTTCAGTGGACATCCTTTCAAATATTTAAACATGGTTATCATGGCCCCCCTCAGCCTTTTTTTCTCCAAGCTAAACATATCCAGCTCCCTTGAGGTTTCCCATGGATTTAATTATATTTCATGGTAGTAATATCTGTCATTCATTATAATTCCTAATTTGAAACAGTGATTCCTAATATTGCCCAGGTTATAAGTGTTTCCTTTTCTGTTCTCTTGAAAGTTTTTTTTTTTGTAAATCCCAGCATCCCAGGATAGAAATCCGTATATCTATGAGCTGAATCGGAGAGTGAAGTAGAAGAAATGAATGTAGGTCACATTTCTGTCAGAATGAAAAAGGTTACAGTTTTATTGGTTACAATTGAATATATTTGGTCCAGAACACGGGTCCAGATCCAAACATTAGCTGACCTACCTGCCTGCTGATGGCAATTTATTCATCCCCAACAGTTGATGGAAACCTAGTCTACCTAGCTCTGGAAAGACAGACACGATTATCCACTTGAGTAAAGACTATCATATGATTCCCCTAATACCTCAGAATGTTGCAGAACCATCTGCCCATAAACTGGAGATAATGTTGTTGTCTACACCTCCAAGATATGCCCAGAACACAAGCATTGTCAATCACATGGGAACTGCTAACTCCCAAAGTAGACATGATATCTCCCGTACCAAGACCACACTAAGCTGTCACTATCAATCTTAGCAGTGCGGTAATAACACTACACTTGATCTTACCCAAAAGACCGAGAAGAGATAGTGCAGTAATAACATAATGGTCTTTACAAATCCCCCAGCATTAAGATAGGAGAGGGTGATTACAACTGGTTGGCCATTGGTGTGGTGGGGAAGCAGCATACCATGGGTCAGTAGTGAAACCTCTACTTGCTCCATTCCCCACCTCTGCCAGGTTGCCTCTAGTTGGCTGGCTGTCTTGCTCCATGCTAGAGGTTGGAAAACCTGTGTGGGTTTATTTATTTATTATATTTATACCCTGCCTTTCTCACCCCTAAGGGGACTCTAGATCAGCTTACAAGTAGGCAGCAATTTGATACTGCATAGACAGACATACAAATAAAAACCAAAAAATTAAAAACATTTAGATTTAGGACATTAAAAAAATGCCTGGAACATGGCTCCCGCCCACAGTTTGCCCACATATGAGGCCTGCATGTTGGCATTCCTGGTAAGTAGACAGAAAATCAGGTGATTTTGACAAATACATTAATTAAATTAGTCCAGCCAGCCCTTATTCATATCTGATGACCTAGAAGACTGCTTCTTAATTTTTTTTCCTTCTTAAAAATTCTTTAGATGTCTGGAGATGGTGGAAGTGGAATTGAAGATAAGCCACGATTACCGGAAAAGGCAAGAGTGAGTCCAAGACCACTTTCCTACTACTAACACTTTCCAGAATAGATTCTTATAGTTAACTTTGATGTATGCAGGTGCCTCCTCCTTCCCTTCTTCGTTTGCTACTTTTAATTGTTTACTATACTCAATGTGTCTTTTTCTATATGTGGCAAATGAGTGGTTTAGCTGCATCCAAACTTGCGCTCTGAAAATTCAATGCTTTGTTAAATTGTAACATATTTTTATGGTGAGCTACTTAGGCTACCCTACTGAATATTTGGTAAACAGGTATTGCCTTTCTTTTGAATAGCAGTTAAGCAACAAAGTTACTCATGTAGAACTAACTTAGAAGAGGTCTGGTTAATGGTAGACTGAAAACTGCAAGGTCAGCACATGCCAGCCAAGCCCAGCCTGATACCTCTCGCCTCCCACCTTCAGCTCATAAACTTGCAAATAACTTGATTCTGAGCCACCCCATTCTCAAAAGGGCCTTTTAAAACAAGAAATAGTTTTTGCCTTTCGTGAAAGTGCCAAGCAGCTGGGATCATTGCATTTTGAGCATAATGTCTTTTTCAAGCCTGATTTAATTTCCTCCTGTTATTTTGCACTCATACAGCACCATCAGTATGTCAAGCAAGTTATATACCTCAGTCCCCTTACCCAGTGAGCTTAGTACCTCCTATGAATGGGAAGAACAGTGAAAGAAACAGAGTAGGGAGATATTTATCACATTAATTTGTAAGAAAAGGAAGAAGGAGTTGGTGGAAGTGGAATAGAGGACAGAATGGGATTAGAATGATTCAAAGAGGGCTTTTCTAAAGATCTGAAGCATCAGCAATTACAACAGATACAGAATGCCAACTCAGATCAATGATGCCTCAAGGTATAAGGAGCTGCCTTATTCTAAATCAGTGGTTCCCAACCTTGTTTTCACCAGGGACCACTTAACTAGGGAGCACTTTGGCCAGAGACCACTTGACCAGGGACCACTCTCCAGCATTACTACCAAAAGGGTTACGAATCACTTTTTGGTCAACTTTAGATTTGGTTTGTTTATTTGGGGTGCTGATTCAGAAAATTGCATTGGATAGACCACGTCAGCTCTAGTTTCTGATACAGAACACATGCTATCCAGTAGTTGCCATCTGCTCGCTCACAGAAAACCATATTTAATAATCTAGAATCGTGGACCCTATTTTAGGTCTTGTGGCACATCAGTGGACTGTGGCCCACAGGGTGGGAACGACTGTTCGAAATTGAATAATGGGGCCACGATTACCTTGAAGGGCAGTAGCTCTCTGAGGTCCAAGTTGGGGGCTTTTTAATCTCTATTAACCTGATATTTTAAAATACAGGGTATGGAGAGTCTTTATGGTTTTCTGGATGTTTATGAGATCCCATCACCAGGAGAACCAACCAGTATAGCCTAACTTCATGAAGCATAGTCTAAATCCACAAGTTTCTCACCACTTGCCCTGTTTCATATCCAGTTATTCTAGATTTTGAAACTACTGCATGGAACAGAATATGTGTTCTGGTATTAAATAATGGACACTGTTATTTTGAGCAACATTTGTAAAAAAATGTGCAAGTTTTTGTCGAATTTATTTTCCACTCTATTAGTGTAACTGTTCTGAAATTTCAGCAATTCTCTGACCTTTACATTTTCTTTTAGATACAAAAAGACAAGATTTTGGGCAGCACTTGGGTTGGATGTTTGTGATAGAGGCTCATATCGGAAACTATGTTCAGTCTATATTTTTTGTATTGTGTGCATGCTAAATTGCATGCGAAAGCTTGCTTGAAAACAACCTGGCAACCTGTTTTAGTAAGTGTATCACTTAACATATGCTTTCCTAAACTGAATTCCCATTAAGAAAGGAGGCATGCCATTTTGCTAGCAGCAATTTCTGTAGTCTACTACACTGATCATCACATGAGGCCAAACTGTAGCAGTTGATAAGTAGTTATCAACATATACATTCATTTGGTTTCCAAATATGTGTTAAATGGCAAACATGTTTTATATATTGTGTGCCTTTAAGTCATTTCTGACTTTTGACAACCCTAAGGTGACCCTATTATGGTTTGTTTGTTTTTTTGGCAAGACATATTCAGAAGGAATTTACCATTGCCTCCCCCTGAGGCTGCAAGGTTGTGACTTGCCCAAAATCACCCGGTGGGAATCCATGATCATGTAGGGATTTGAAATGTAGTCTGCTAGGGTCCCGGTCCAACACTGAAACACTATTCCACATTGGATCTCAAATAGGTCACATACAATATAGTTATACATACGTTTGTTTTTTTATGCATGTAAACCATGGTTTCAAAAAGTAGACATTTTAGTTATACAGAGATAGAATTTCTACTGTACCAAAGACTTCAGAGATGACTTGCTAAGTTATCCTCTTTCCACCAGATGTGCAATGTAGTCTGGAAACCTGCCCCAGTATGCTAATCCAAACAGTGTGTCCAAGCGTAGCTGAGGATGCGAGGTTGATCCAGGGCAGTAATGCGTTGAGGCAGCTGGTCAAGCTGGACTCTTCCATTTCCTGCTAATGGGGATTTGCTGCTGTTGACTTTTTGGCAGTGCCTCATAGTCTTGGCATACTACTGGTTATTTTCAGTGGTGCATCACATAATTGCAGACTCCGTTAACTTTTTTATTTAAATACTTTCATTGTCTAACTAGTCAGGTCTAATTGGTCTTTATTGACCATGATTCAGAACATTGGCTTTTATTCTGTTATTTCCCCCTTGCGAGAGCAGGTCGAGTTGGAAGAAAGATGCCTATTTTTCCAACAACCTGGTTTGAATTAGAATACAAGACAACAAGCTAAAGAGAGGACGTAAAGAAATAAACAATTCCAGTACAATCCACTGGCTCTTTAAAATGTGGTTCACATACTCACAGAATTCTTCTTCTTGGACTAAGGCACACCTCTGTTTTCTCTCTTCGAAAAGACATCTTGATGATTCTTGATTCAAATAGTCAGTGAGCAAAAGTATTTGGATGTGGAAGAAACTTAAATTTTTGAATATCATATGTTTTTAACTTCAGAAGAAAAAAAACAAATGGAAAAAGTGGTTTTATTTAAATAAATTCCTGGTTTTCTTTTCTAAATAGAAAAATGTTCTTCATGAACAGATTTGTTCCTCCTCTGTCTCATGAACACTTACAGTGAAACACATAAATCCACTGTCTTTTACACCAAGGGCCATATGTCTTCTATAATGCTAGCCTTTAAAAAATGGAATTTGGAATATCTATCTAGCAAATTGCAAATATATATATGCAATTATACATATATTCAGTGCCCATTTCCTAATCATGGCTTTTCCAGTTAGAAAGGAAATACACATAAAGCAATTCCATCCTTTATTTCCCCCACCCATTCCTTTTTCTTCATCTTGCTGTGCAGCTAATTATTCTCATTAATTTTCTTCAATATTAATTTGTAGTTCATGTTTGACATTCGCTCTGGAGACTGTGATCTCTTGAAATGTTATGCATGTCTTCATTTGTTGGGCCTGTATTAGATTTCTTCATCACGCAGATGTTTCATAGCTTTGTGTGAGTTCTCTAATGTTTGCCTCCTGGATAGCCGACCTCCAGTGTGACATCTGATTTCTAGCTGCACAATGTCAATGCAGGCTTTGGAGGTAGTCCCCAATGCTCTCCAACTTGTTCTTTGAATCTGCCAATATCCTTTTCATAGACCTGTACAGAATATTGATCTAAATCCCTTACTATAAATTGATTGCAATGCCACCTCCTTGTTTGAGCAGCTGCTGGTGTAGAACAAAAAAGAGAGATATAAAATTAGGGAGTCAATTTATTATGTTCCAACTGATGGATGGGGCTTCAGTCCTATTACCATAGTTTTCCAGCTGCTTTGTATTTTATCTTAAAAATTAAATTTTCCTTCATGCTTCTTCTCAAGGGATTACAAGAAATCTCAGCTTGGCATTGAGACAAGTGTCACCATCTGAGCCAGAAGTAGTTCAGGATCAAGTTGCAAAAGCAGTCACTATTATGGAGAGGCAGTGATGGCCTTCCCTAGATTTATTTTTCTAGAGTGTATTTTACACAGCTGGGATTCTTCTCTGCACATAGAATCCTGGACCAATATTACAGAAAAATTAAAACAATAATCAAAGACTCATGAGTTCATGACTGGCTAGTGTCACTCCTCTCTGTTTGTGCTCTTCGCTGATGGTTTCTGTTTTTATTTCATTATTGTGTTTTCTTGAATTACATATTGCTTTTTGTATGCATTAGATTGTTGGGCAATTCATACATATTTGAAATGAATAATGACAGTTAATGTGTCTTCCCTATACACAGCCATGCAACTTCTGACCCTTTTCAATTTTTACAAATGATTTTATACAGTCCAAGCTTGACCCTGTATTTTCAGTGATGGATGAAAGCATTCAAAGTCAGTAGGGATGTGGGCCAAAAACCATCATTCCCATATGGCCATTTATGTGTTGGTGAAATGATGTTCTGCATTAAATTGCCCCAGGACTGCAAGATCCAGAAGCAAAACTTCTGAGGCAGTGTTGCTTAATGAAGCCAGCAGTCCTCTTGGGTCCTTTTTCCTTTGTGCTATGGTCCCATTTTAATGGTCATGGCTATATCCTACATAATCCTGGGGCTTGTGGTCTTGAGCAACACGAAAGGGATATTTGACTGGCAATGTTAAAGGACCTTCGTTGTGCTAGAGTGATGAAGTGTGAAAGAACTTTCAGTGTAGAATACAAATGCTTTACAGATGGACTGTACAATATATACAGTTTTTTTGTGTGAAAATATAACCATATGAGTTGCAGTCATGACATTAAGCCTTTGTGTTTCTTCAAAAGAGTTATTGGAGACCTCAGAAGATTTTGGCAGTGTATGGTCCTGAAAGTAATGCAGTAAAATTCTGGAATTGTTCAGTCGCTCTCTTGGAAGAGTGATAATTGCAATCAAAACAACATGTATGGTATACCATGTAAAATGAACATTGTACAGTTAAGGCATGCAAGGAGTGCCTTTTGTTTTGCAACTCATATTATGTACACATTTAACAACAACAACAACAATAATAATAATAACAATAACAATAAATTAATAATAATAACAAAAACTTTGTATTGGCTGGAATCACTGGGTTGTTGTAGGTTTTTTTGGGCCTTATGGCCATGTTCTAGAAGCATTATCTCCTGACATTTTCATCTGCAACTATGGTAGGCATCCTCAGACCTCACAACCTCTGAGAATGCCTGCCATAGATGCAGGTGAAACTTCAGGAGAGAATGCTTCTAGAACATGGCCATACAGCCCAAAAAACCTACAACAGCCCAATAACAATTTTATTCTTTTATCCTGTCACCATCTCTCCAAAGGGTCTCAGGGCGGCTTGCATGTGACACAAGATGACCAAAAACAAAACATAAAACAAACATAGCACTAAATAAAACACATATGCATATAGAACATCAACCAAGTAAAACTGAGCTCATCAACCAATGGCAGTAAGCTGCTGTAAACATGGCCAGGCTGTAAACAATAGGACAAGGGAATTGGATAGTGCAGACCTATGACAATGGAGAGAAAGCATGGGATAAAGTGTAAGGCTGAGGGCGTTCCAAAGTCAGGGGTCCACCACTTAGAAGGCCCTCTCCCTCATCCCCACCAACCATGCTTGTGATGATGGCAGGACCGAGAGGAGGGTCTCCCGGGCAGATGTTAGAGCCCGTGCCCCCCATCTCAGTCCCTAACACTCTCAAGATTATACCATCATTTAAGGAAACCAAATTTAAATGTATATAAAAAAAGAAGATCGGATAGAAACAAGGAGACAGTCATTTATTGTTCATTTTTTTGTGTTATCCAAAGGCACTCTCTGATTTTGTATTCTCAACCATCTGGTCAGGGAGTTCAGGCTGAGAAAGAGCAACTTTCTTACATTTGCTCTGCAAGCTTCCTGTTGGCATGGGGATTTGAATCTAACCCGGCACTATTTGAAATGCCATATTGTGACACAATAGTCCTCAAGTATTTCATAAAACTGGGAAAGAACAACAAAACAATAGTGGAAGCAAATTCATAAAGGATATGCACCCAAGAAACAAATTGTTAGAAGTCAGGTTTCAGAATATGTAATTTTTCTTCTGCATTTGGATATAGAACAAGCATGCCACCCAGTGTCCAAAGATGTAATTGATCCACATTATCTATTTTGCATTTTCTATTCTGAGATGTAACATTTCTTCAAAAATTTAGCCAGGGAGACAGATATATGTATTGTCAAAGGCTTTCACAGCTGGGATCACTGGGCTGTTGTGTGGTTTCTCGACTGTATGGCTGTGTTCTGGCAGAACTTTCTCCTGACATTTTGCCTGCATCTGTGGCTTCAGAGGATCTGGTGGTGGTAAAGCAAGTGGAATATCTATCTGTCTATCTATCTATCTATCTATCTATCTATCTATCTATCTATCTATCTATCTATCTACAAATTTCCTGAAAATTTTAAGGTTTTGTTACAGCATAAGATAAGCATATGGTTTTGTTACATTTTACTAGATAAAATCATACTGTTTTGGTTATATGCGCATAATCCTAAGGTCTTTTAGGGTGTGAATGGGGATGACATGGCACATTGGGAGTCCACCTTATTGCAAATGGAGAGGGAAGTCCGCCTCTGGAGGTCTCCTTATTGCAATTGTGGAAAAAGCTGCCACCATAACTCCTCTGTAACTGCTGATCTAACAGGAGTTGGTAGTAAAAATGAGATGTATTGTGAAGGTATGGGGCTGAAGTTAGCTTGGATGCAAATAGAAAATGGCAGACATGACCTTCAGTTATCAGATACAGAGGATTCGAAAGCTTACTCCAGTGCTATTGCTTTCTCCAGGTCACTCCAGTGGTCTCAGGTCTGCCAGTGCCTCCACCTGTGACTTCTCCTCCCATTGCCAAAAAGCCCACAGAACAAGAAGAGAAACTCCATTTACATACAGATATTGCTGATCCAAAAGAGAAGCCACCATCTGCTGCAGGAGGTAACCCAATTTTTCTTCCCAAAATCGTCTTCTTTTAAAAGAAAACATAAGTATAACTCTGACCATTCATGTTTTCTTGATAATATGGAAAGAAGATTTTCAAAATGCACATATTTCTCAAACGAAGCAAGGTGTTTGTGCTGGCTGTAAGAAAAAAATTCATGTGTATGTAATGATAATTCAAAAACAAGTGAACGATTTGGCCCACACAAAAATATGCAAGCTTTTGAGATCTGCAGTTCTTTTATCAGGCAAGATATTGCCAAAGAAGAAATAAATGAAGCTGGTGGGATTGAGAGAAACTTTATTTTCTCAGATATCATCCACCTCCAGGCATGAGGTAGTCACCCAATGTGATTTTGGCTGACTGTTTAATCTTTGGCACCATCTAAAATGTGTATGGCAGATCCTGTAAGTGCTTCTCCCATGGGCTGCAGCAGCCCATCCAGTATGTCCAACAGCATGTCCAGGCACATCAGAAACCATGCCACAACTCTTCTGCTTATCGTTTTTGGCTAGTTTGGTAACAAAATAAGATGAGGGTTAGGAGTTCTCAGGAGTATGTGGAATTGCCACTTTTTTTGTTTTTAGTAATTTCCAGATGGAATATGGTCCAGCTTAAAAATGTGAAATTTGTCAGTTTTTTAAAGCAGGATTACCAAGGGGGCCATGGGGACTTTACAACTAAAGACGGGGGGTCATGGCAGCCCACGATCTTTCTCCATTCTCTGCTAAAATTAGCTTCAGGTATATTTGTATATGTTTTAAAAGCTGTCTGTTTTCTCATTATCCTCATTTTCCAAGGCACCCTTGGGTTTTGCCTACAGCTGGAAAGAGATACATGTAATTGTTTGAGTTTAGATTCTCAAGTTCCCAATGGCAATGTTTTATTGTTGAATTGGAACACTGTTGTTTCTTATTTTGACATTTTGCAGCTCTTCCTACTGCTCTGCTTCCTTTTCCTTTGTTTTTTCCTTCTTTCCTCAGAATCTTTTTGCTTTTTCCACCACAGTGGGAGCCAAAGGTGAGAAAGGAGATTCTGGTGAAAAGGGGGAACGTGGTCCCAAAGGGGACTCTGGACTTGGTGGAGTTGTGTCAACAGGTGGTGCCAAAGGTGAAAAGGTAAAATAAGGATATATAACATTCTTAGTCATTTTCTTCCAATATTGCCCAACTTTGCTTTAATATTATATTCTTGAATACCTTTCCTTTCCCTTCAAATTACCTTTTTTATCAGTGAGTGTATATTTCAGAGTATGATAATGTTGCATTGGATTAAGTATAGTTGTCCTACACTGAAATGTTTTGTTTCTTCTTCTGTAGGGAGAAAAGGGAGATCTAGGTGTTAAGGTAAGAAAACACTTCTGCTGTGCTGTTTGCCTTTGAAACTGGTATTAGAGAAGTATTGTGAAAACAATTTACTCTGGCAGATTTATATCATGAAATCAGGGATAGAAAAAATATTTGAATACATTAAAAATGATAGGAAAAAATGTTTTTCAAGTGCTGAGAAACTGATGAGAAGAATTCTGGAATGATGAGAAACATTTCTATTTACGATTATTCTGTGCACATTTCACATGTTTTGTATCGGGCCTTCTGTTCCTATTCCCTTTTCAAATATTTTATTTTTCATTACCTTTATTATCACTTCGTTAAAATAATCATATTTCAGACATAGATGTCTATCCTATAATTGAACACATCTCTAATTGTTTATAAAAGGCCTAATGGGGGAGACAATAGTAGTTGTTGAATTCCAGTTCATCCAGAATCAAAGTATTTAATCAAAGATTTTGGAAGATTAAGTACTTGAATTAAAATGGAGAGGTGACTTAAAGTTGCTCTAGATACAACATAGAGGCTCAAATATGACCTTTATCCTGACTTTTCATTTGTCCCTCCAGAATTTGATTTCCCTTGATCTAAGAATTGGAGAGGAGAGATTAAGAAGCATTTCGTTTCTTCCTTCCCCCCTCTTCCTTCTTGATTAAAGCTGCGAGATAGAAACGAAGTAGCCTGAGTTGATTCTCCTCACTGTACAAGATGGTGCATAGATGTGATAAAGAAACTGTGTCCAGATTATAGAAAGCATTTCAGTACAGATAGGAATTTGCATGTTTGGAATAATGGAGAAAAGCAAGAATGTCACAAAGGAACCAGAGTGAATAAAACAATTGGTGTCTCATATTTAGAAGATGTTCACTTCCAACCTCTGTAACCACAAGAAGACATTCTTGGATTGTTTCCACACAATGTGTTTTTCCATACCTTTAGGGAAATGCAGGCTTTGGATATCCAGGATCTAAAGGTCAGAAAGGGGAGCCTGGTGCTGAAGGTTCTCCTGGTCCAACTGGGCCCCCCGGGCCTCCTGGCACCATTGTGAAGCACTCCGATGGCTCTGTGGTAGAACAGGTTGCTGGGCAGCCAGGACCTGCAGGCCCTCCTGGATCCCCTGGCAAGGATGGCTTACCTGGAAAAGATGGAGAACCTGTAAGTAGACCTTTCAGAAAGAGGGGCTGTGTCATAGGGTAGAATGGATGTGGTGGTTGGGAAGGCTTGCCTCTTAAGGTCAATGAGCATATTGGTATTGTCTGGTGGAGTGACAGGAACAAAGATGAAATTGTACCCCCAGTTCTCAAATGGGTTTCCACAAGTTAGAGTCTCCAGGTTCTCCATTTTAATCCTTTAGCCCTTTTTGATGTTTGGTAGGGTGGAGGTCTCTTTGTGTTGACTACATTTAGCCATCTCTTGAAAAGGGCTGCACAGTTTTTATGTTATGTTACGGAGGGCAGGTGAGACCACTGTGCTACAGTATCAGCTTATAAACAGTTTCTCCAAATATAAACAATTCTCGTCTGTGGAATTTCTGCTCACTCTATGATGCATCCTCAGTCTTTTGCCCATGATCATTTGTTTCTCTACATAATTTCTTCCCCCTTTTCTGCTTGTTTCTTGTTGACCTTTTTCCTCTAGCTTTTTCTGCATTCCGCCTGTGTCCATATTTTTTACTTAATTTGGATAGCACACTTGCTATTCTGTAAAAGAATATATTTGTTTTTTTATTTTGCAGAGTTGTCTAAAATACCTTCTCCTCCTTACCAGTCCTACATCTTCTTGCCTTCCTCCATCCTTTTTATATGCCTTAACCAGAGAGAGTATTAAACCTAAACATTCATCCTGTGTTCATGCAAGTAGTAATTAGGATTTGAGTTTGGGTTGCTTTCCTTTGTGGCTATTTTGTTAGTTTGTGAAGAGTGCAAACTCACCGAGGAATGTGCACTTGGAAAATAAGGGTAATTAAATAAAAATGCTAGATTACAAAAATGCGAATAAGCCAGGTTTCTACTAAGTTCCTGCATTTTGTTCTTACTAGGGAGATCCTGGCGAAGATGGCAAACCAGTAAGTGCTGCTCTTTGTGTCTCATATTTTGAAGATAAATATTTCATGTTTAATAGGTATCATTGTATTGTTTAGAACTATTATATTGGATTGCCAGTACTTTCCTTAACCATTTTCATTTCTCTCTTTCCTTGTGTTATGTGATATTGTCCTGCTTTTGGGGAAGAGAAAATAACCCAAGTGCAACCTGCTGCGTGTTTACTAAAAACTAAGTCTGCATCTAACCCAGTGTTCTCAAGCTTTGGGTCCCCAGGTGTTTTGGCCTTCAACTCCCAGAAATTCCAGCCATTTTATCAGCTGTTAGGATTTCTGGGAGTGGAAGGCCAAAACATCTGGGGACCCACAGGTTGAGAACCACTGATCTAACCTGTCAAATTAATGCAGTTTGACACCACATTAACTACAGTGGCTCAGTGCTATGGAATTATAAGAGCTATCATTGTACAAGGCTGTTGCTCCCTCACCAAATGATGCATTCGGAGATTGCATAGCATTGAGCCATGGCAGTTAAAGTGGCATTGAACTGTTTTAATTCAACAGTGTAAATGCACTTATAGTCCCAGTGTATTCAGTGGGGGTTATTCCTCATTATGTGAGTTTAGGACTGTACCCTGAAATCTATTCAGGTGTTTATGTGAGTGAAATTGTATCTTTAATTCTGTCATTCAATTCCCAGACTAGATTTTTGTATTCCTTAAAATAGAAAAGTAGCCACATACCTGCATCCATTCACTGTAATTGTAATGTTGAAACACTCAATTGCCTTAGTGACAAATATGTTTCCCCCACTGCCCCATGACTGGCACCACATTTGTTCCCTTTGGCTACAATTATTTCTTTCTTCCTTAGAAACTTGCCATAGACTGTCAGCCAATGTCTCAGGGACTAGTTCTGGTTCATGGACCATCACTGAGTAGCATTGCTGTAGAACATATCAGAGGGAGCTTAGTTTTATTTGATTTAGACCCTGTTCTTGCTGATCATGGACAAATAAAGATGTGAATCTGGAATACTACTTCTAAGAACACAGTCATCTTGACGCAACTTTTAGTTTCCTTGCCGAATGTGTATTCATGTGGGTGTGTTTGTGTGTCTGTAAATGGAATATTATAGCTCTTTCAGAGATATTTGGGAAGCACTTACTGATTTCCTTTGCAGGGTGATGTTGGCCCTCAAGGATTCCCTGGAACCCCTGGTGAACCTGGCCAAAAAGGAGAAAAGGTATGAGCTCTTGAGTCATATGAACATAAATTGATTTGTTCTCATTTTTAGTTCATTTGTGTTTGTGAAAGATATCAGCAATTTCAGAATAACACTGAGTTTGGTTGCTTTTTGGGTATATGTGGCCAATGTTCTCAGCTTCATCATCTGTTCTCTCCATCCAGGGTGATCCAGGCATTGGTGCAAGAGGTCCTCCTGGGCCACCAGGACCACCTGGATTCAGTTCCAAACTGGACAAATTGGTGAGTTTTGGTTTTGCTTGATTTCTATCCTGCTTTGTTGTCTCTTATCCTCTTACACCTCTTAACTTTGCATTTTAAACCAATGTTGTGTTTTAGTTTCAGTTTCTGTAATTGCCACTGTAAGATGGAAAACTGTGCAATAAGTGTTGGGATAAATAAATGCTGAGCAGTTTGAGGGGGAAGGAAAACTGTTCCGTCAATCTTATTAACTTGCCTAGTTATCACTTATTTAGGATAGTCATGATTGCTTGTTGTAAACCTTTCTTAGCCAACAGTGAGGAGGCCAGCCTCTGACAGACTTGGTTGAGCCTCACATTTTTGCCATAGCTACATTGGGATGAGGTGGATTGGCTGCTCTCACGGTGCAGGGTTCTTAACATCAATAAGACCAATGAGTATGTTGTGGACTACAGGAAGAACAGACCTGAAATTCAGCCCTTGGTCATAAATGGAGACTAAGTGGCCAGTTTTAAGTTCCTGGATGTCACCGTTAAGGAGAATCTGACCTGGGGCACTCATACGGCAGCATTGGTTAAGAGGGCCCAGCAGGAACTCTACTAGTTGAGACTTCTAAGGAACCAACAACTGAATGAAAAACTACTGGTGACTTTCTACCGTTGTGCTATAGAGAGTATCTTAGCCTACTGCATCTGCGTGTGGTCACCACTACTGCACAAAGAATCATTGGTTGCCCTCTCCCCTCTTGGGAAGAATTTTATAGGTCCTGCAGCCTTAAGAAAGCTCAGAGCATTCTTGGGGATCCATCTCACCCAGCATTTTTCTTTTTTTGAATTATTGCCATCTGGCAGAAGGGACAAGGTAACAAAGTCAAGGACAAACAGACTGAGGGATAGATTTTATCCTAGAGTTGTGGCTATGTTGAACTCCATGGTTTCGCATTGATCTGGCATTAGGGTCTGTGTGGTGGTGATCGGGGTATCGAGTGATGGATGTTATTTTGTTGTGTGTCCTAGGGAAGGCATTTTATTTCATTGTGCAGTAGCACAATGACAATAAATCTATTCTAATTCTAATTTGATTGTGAGAAGCACTAAACACTTGATTTCTTTTTCCTCCCCAGACATTTATTGATATGGAAGGTTCTGGCTTTGGGGGCGATTTGGAAAACCTACGAGTAAGTATGTAGGCTAGGTAGCTGTTACCTTCATTAGGTTTCTCCCAGTGGTGTGTGCCATCTAAATAGCTCTTTTTAGTTCATTTGTGTTTGTGAAGGGTTCTTTTAGATGATGTATGCAGACTGTTTGCTATTTTTCAGGGCCCCAGAGGACCACCTGGCCCACCAGGACCACCTGGAGTGCCTGGCCTACCAGGACAGCCTGGACGATTTGGGACAAATGGGACTGACCTTCCAGGACCACCTGGACTACCTGGAGTGACAGGCAGGGATGGTAGCCCAGGACTTCCAGGGCCTCCTGTAAGTTAAAAGGGGGTACTTGAGCTTATAGAAACTAATAGAATATACGAATACTGACTTCGAAAGCTGGTAATTCCTCTAGGTATCATTTTACAGATCCAGAATTCACTTAGAATATAATTTCACACTTTGCTTTGTGACTGTTGTGAGGCTTCTGGAGTTGGATCACTAAAGAGTCTATCTAAAGGTATCACACAAAATAGGCTCCCATGTTGCATTCATACAGGCTTCCTCAACCTGATGTCCTCCAGCAGTATTGGACTTTTAATTTGGCAAACCAACTAGATATTTATTCTGTCTAGGGAGCCTGGAAAGATGTAATCCAGTACTTATGAGGGATGCCATGTTGGGGAATTATGTGTTAGCAGTATTTCCAAGGAATGCTTTGACTGGCTGTCAGAAGGAGAAAAACCTAGTTACTGCCTTAATTTGGGAAAGGCTGGTGGTGATAATATGTTGCTCTGAGTGGCTTCTTCTCTTCCACCAACCCCACGAACACAGTTCCAGTCAGCTTAGTCCTTTGCAAACTATCACATGCTTTGAACAAAAAGGGGAGGGACTAGTCCAACAGCAAGTGGAGGAAGTATGTGCATTTCAACACATGTATGCAGACATAGAGTTTTCTCACCCTCACCACTCCACTCATGAGTTATTTTTCTCAATCTGATTTTGATTAGAGAATTACTCCTGCCCAAACTGATCCCCCCCCCCAAATACCCCCAGCTATCATGCTTATAAATGTACAAGATGCAATTCTACCCAAAGAGGATTCTTTTTTTAATTAAGGGAAGGGCATGTTTTGAATGTAGGTCTAGCAAATCTTTCTCCACTGTACGCTTCTTCTCTTTTCCATACACATACCATTCTCACTCCGCAATTCCCTTACCTCTGTAACTTCTGATGGTATCTGAACACATTCACTCATTATGAAGGTAATGGAGGATGCACCTATGAACTTCTGTATTGATCCATATCCCATTGTCAGACCTTCTCTGGCCTCAACAATTTAACCTTTTATAAGAAAAAACTTTCATTGATGCCAATGGGAACCATTAAAAGGCCCACTCAGACAGGGGTATGTATGTGTGTGTATGTATCTTTTCAACGCTACCTTGAAGAAATAATTTCTCTTGTATTAACAACATGCTTTTAAAAACCTCCTATTAGCACCAAGTGTTTTTCAAAAGGTTAGTTGCATACATGACCTGCTTTCTCCTCCCAGGGGTGAGAAAGGCGGTATATAAATACTGTAAATAAATAAATAATAAATGAACAGAAGCCACGGGAAACTGCCCAAGTGACTGATAACAATGAGTTGGTTGGCAGCTTCCAAAAGACTTCTCACCTTTCTGGTGGTGCAATGGGTTAAACCTTTGTGCAGGCAGGACTGCTGATGAGGGAACGGGGTGAGCTCCTGTCTGTCAACTCCAGCTTCTCATGCAGGGACATGAGAGAAGCCTCCCACAGAATGGTAAAGCATCTTGGCGTCCCCTGGGCAATGTCCTTGCAGACAGCCATTTCTCTCACACCAGAAGCAACTTGCAGTTTATCAAGTCGCTCCCGACACACGAAAAAACCCCTTTCCTTTTTGGATGTTTTTCAGGGCCCTCCTGGTCTTCCAGGAAGAGATGGGATCGCAGGTCAGCCAGGGTTGACTGGAGCAAGGGTATGTATCGCTCCTCTGTGCAAGTTCTCTTTACTGTATGGCAGTAGTGAGCTCACAGGGAGACCATGAGACTCTAATTTGCAGCTGACTCTGTGAAAAGCATCAAAAACAAAATACACAACTTTCTTTTCTGTTTTCAGGGTGAACCAGGTGAAATAGGCCTCCCAGGAGCACCTGGACCAAAGGTAATATGGTTCACTTTCTGCAGAAATTATTATAGTAGAATTGTGTATTTTTGAGTTGGCAGCAACATATAGTGTGAGGTTTATTTGTTGTTAACCTTTGGCAAGTGTATGGTTTATTTTTGAAGAGTAGTCCTGTATGATTAACCACTTTTGTTTGAAATCTGTTTCAAATAGAACAAGGGTTATTTGTGAAAAGCTTCACTTTGAAGCCCATTTCAGAATAACTCTTCTCCCAAAGAACACTGGGAGCTGCTGTTTTGTAACATTAAAAGCATTGCATTTGATGTACTCAGATCTCCTAGATTAGTACTGGTCCGTGCACCATCTCTTTGAAAAGTACATTTAGAACAGCCATAAGATATAGTGGACCTTCAGGTATTTTTTGGCTTGCAACTCCCATCATCCTTAGCCAGCCTAGCCAATGGTAAATGATTTGAAGCTGTGGTCCAGTAAGCATATGGATGGCCAGAGTGGCCCCTCCAGATCTACAACAAAGGAATCCAATTCCCTGCTTTTCTTTTGAGGTGGCCATGATAGGTAAACAAGGAAGACTCCATGCAAACTTGTAATGAATGGGTGCCTCAAGGCAAGAGGCTGGGGACATTTTTCTTTATGAAGGCTCCCAGAATCCTCCAGCCAGCATGGCTACTGTGACCTTTTTAAAGTCTAAGGTAAAAGTTTTCCCCTGACATTAAGTCCAAGTGCATCCAACTCTGGGGATTCGTGCTCAACTCAATTTCTAAGCCAAAGAGCTGGCATTATCTGTAGACACCTTCAAGGTCATGTGGCCGGCATGACGGCATGGAGCACCCTTACCTTCCTGACGGAGTTGATCTACTCACATTTCAAGCTCTACCTAGGACTATTTACCTTATAAGGTGGAGCCTCACATTCTGTGCCCTGCAGTTAAATTATGCTCTTTATAGAAAAAGCAGTAATTATTTGGCATGTTAAGCAGAGTTTGATTTACTTTTTGAGGGAACTAAAAATTGGAATTCCTTGAATCTGTTGGTAACTTTAGAAAACAAATCAAAACATTTCCTCCACCCTCTCTCTTGAAGGTAAATACCAGAAACCACAACCACTTTCGTTGATACAAGTTACAATGCAGGCTGCTGCTGCTGTGTATTTACATAATAACAAAAATAATAGTAGAGTTGTCAGCAAGTACTATTATGGCTGTGGTCATCCATCTCCCTAGCTGTTTGCTAGGGCTGGAACTTTATTTGCAAAAGCACCCCCTGCTTTAGCAAACACAGGTGGGGAAGAAAGTAAGATGATTTTTTTTTAAGCCCACAAGTTTAGATACCATCAGACAACATAGTAAAGGCCCACAGCTAGGCTGCCTAATACCCTCTGTCCATGACTTCATTGCTTTCTTAATCTGTATTTTGGCAGCTGTGGTTTTCGGCCATTCTTTTAGCAGGTGTGTTCTTGATAAAACAGCACCGAGCGAAATGTAGCTCCAGATGTTGTACTGCAACTTCCAACATTCTTCTCCATTGATTGTACTGGCTGGGGATGACAAAAGTGGTAGTTCAATTGGAGGACTTTACTTTGCCTCCTCTTATATACAATCTTCTCACTTAGGTCTTTTTTTTAAACAGATTTATAGGGGCGGATAAAGATGTACAACTTATTCATACATACCTCACCATTCTAATATGCACAGCCTTTTAGGCTTCAAGTATTCTGTTATTCCCGGGTTTTTCATGTGTAGTAAAATTAGAGTTGTAGTTTTAGGAGGTCTTTAGCCTTGGCATCCAAATACCCGTATTTCATTGCATAATAGTCACACTTTTTTCCTTTTGGGGGGAGGAGAAAGGAGGGTGTGCGACTGTTATGAGAGGAATTTTTTTTGGCGACTATTGGGCTTCCCTTGGCTATTAGCCAAAGGAAACCCCATAGCTGCAAAGCTGTCTGCTCCTTCAGTGAGAACTACAAGGCCTCCCTCCTCGGGCAGGCGGATGAACTCACTTGCCGGCCCGCCGGCCCCTTTTCCTTAGCACTGCGAGGCTTGACTTGGCTTTGGGAGTAGCACCAAAAGAGCAGTCACACCCTTAATTCTCTTGCTGAGGTGAATGAACTAAGGGTGAGACTATTATGTGGGGAAAGGTAAAATATTTTGCTTCCCCCAAAAAGATGTGTGACTATTATGCGATGAAATACAGTAATAACACCAAACTATAAACATGCTGTTAAAGTGTTGTCGAACTGCATTAATTCTACATTGTAAAATTTTACACCCATATAATTCTAAAGTTGGAAGGGCTGTCCAGGCCAGCCCCATTTTTGCCATCCAGGAATACAAAATCAAAGCACTCCTGACAGATGGCCACCCAACCTCTAAAGACCTCCAAAGGAGGAGACTCTGCAAAGCAATGTGTTCCATAATTCTGCCCAATATTTGAGTGAAATCCTTTCCAGAAGTTTGGATCCATTACTCAATATGACATCCCTTCACATTATGCATTGTGATGGGATATCATTTGGAAGCTCCTTGCAAATTGAAAATAATTAAAGAAAACCTACTACATCAGCATACCTCCCATAATTTCTCATCTTGCCTGTTCTTGTTAGAGCTGGTGGAAGTTGTAGGCCCATAACATTTTGATAGCAATATATTAAACTTGCCTGCTAAAGTCTTAATAGCACCAAGAGACAAAAAAAGAGAGACTACTGTGGTACACCCTCCTTTTCCTGATTCTCAGCCTTCCTGCATTCATTCACTTTTTCCATCTAACCAGAATACTCTACTTCCTATTCCTCCTGATGTGTTAGAACTACTTGCTTATTACTACTCAAACCCATTTAGGGGAAAATCAAGAACAGAGGTAACATCTCTGCTCATGTTTTGGAGTGTGAAATAGTTTGCTTGTATATGTGTTTGGATGCATGATAACAAGGGCCCTGGCATGTTGAATAGGTTGTGGGATTACTATGTTAGTCTAGAGCAGGGGTAGGGAACCCAAAATCTCCAAAATTGGAATTCAGCTCATAGTAGTCCAGTTAATACACCTAATGATTGGGAATGATGGGAGCTGTAATTTAACATATGAGGGACCATTGGTTCTCCATCTCTGGTCTAGAGGGACAACTGCAATTCTTAGTTGTGTTGTACATAGCCTTATGTACACTAAGAAGTCTGCAGTCTGAGCACTACAGATCTCAAGACGAGTAGCCTGCCCTGTTACCCTGTTTTGAGCCAGTTTGCATGCTCATTCTGTTCTGTTGTGCACACTTCTGTAAACTGCACCACAGTAGACTACTGAATGTCATTTAGTAACACATGGCATTATGAAATACGTTCAGATAAATAGGCTTAATACATGAGATGAGCAAGACAAGACTGAAGCATTTTTCTCTGTGGAGACTATGTGAACTTTTTTTATTGCTAAAGTTGCATTTGTTTAGCTTTGTTTCTTTCTCTCTGTGTGTGCAAATTGCATGCATTTATAATATGCTTATTAGGCATGGGCAATCCATGGTTCTAAATGGTTCTAAAGTATTTACAAAACTAGAGGGTGCTGGTGCTTTGCTTCTAAAGTTCTGGTGGTAAAAATTTCAGAACTCTAACAAAACTTTCAATATTGGCAATTTTTATGACAGAATCAATTAGGAACTGCCATTTATAACAAAATTTTGAAAGTTTTGTTAGAGTTCTGAAATTTTCACCACCAGAACTTTAGCAGCACTTTAGAAGCAAAGCACCAGCACCCCCTAGTTTTGTAAGTATTTTAGAACCATTTAGAAGCATGGATTGCCCATGCCTAATGCTTATATATTCACCATACCCAAGTTGGTACTCTCTATGGATAGAAGACAGGGGTCTTACAGGTTTGTATGTCCTCTATTTTGACATCTTTTTTCTTTAAAAAATGTTATTTTAAAACAGAAAACACAATACTGACTATAGAAAGAAACTAAGACAGAACATAAGCAGGAAGAAGAAAGATACAAAAAAGAAGAAGAAATAAAAAATACAGAAAGCAAGAAATAAAAGTGACTTCTCAGCAGCAATTAATGCTATATAAATCCATTAAAAAGCTGAATGACAAGGCTTCCCTATTCATTATTTTTACTCTTCCTTTTGTAGAAAATATTGATAATTAAATTCAAATTTTAATTTGATCAGGAAAAACCATCTAGAAGTTTTGTGTTATGCTTTATTTTGAAGTCCTGATTTGCTTGCATCTGACTCAGTCTTTACTCATCTTGGCTCAGTGTTCTGTGCTGTATTCACAATCTTTTTTAATTTACTTTTAGGGAAATAATGGAGATGTTGGGCTACCAGGAGAGCCAGGTCAAATTGGCTTGGCAGGTCTTCCTGGGCCCATGGGTCCCCGTGGACAGCCTGGTCCCCCTGGTCCTCCTGGCCCAGGTTTCGTGGCTGGATTTGTGAGTACAAGAGAAGTACCATGCTTTATTATGATAGTTAGACCTACACCCAAGAAAAGTACCATGTTTGATGAGATACTTGTACCTTGACCCAAGAAAAGTACAATGCTTGATATCATGCCTATTTTATATTATTTTGTTATTAATATTATTTGTTCGGTTCTACTTGTTTTATATGATTTGTTGATCGTAATAAATATATATATAATTATATCATGCTTGATATGATAGTTGAGTTTTGACCCAAGAAAAGTAGCATGCTTGATATAATAGTTGGATGTAGACCCAAGAAAAGTAGCATGCTTGATATCATGCCTATTTTATATTATTTTGTTATTAATATTATTTGTTTGGTTTTACTTGTTTTATATGATTTGTTGATCATAATAAATATATATATATCATTATATCATGCTTGATATGATAGTTGGATGTAGACCTAAGAAAAGTACTATGCTTGAAATGATAGTTGAGTTTTGACCCAAGAAAATTACCATGTTTGATATGATAGTTGGATCCAGAACCAGATGTGCAAGATGCAGATAAAAATAGAGTTCTGTAATTTCTGTGATGATGACGACGACATGTGTGTGTAGTGCTTTACACAAACAGAAGTTTACAATCCAAAATTCAATACTGAAGGAAGCAACAGAGTGACAGAAGAGAAAGATAAGCCAGAGAAAAATTGTATTATGCTGTAGCTTTGTTTTGCTATAGCTTAGTTTTTAATTGGCCACATCACGAGAAGAAAGGAAAGCTTAGAGAAGACAATTATGCTGGGGAAAATGGAAGGAAAAAGGAAGAGGGGCCGACCAAGGGCAAGATGGATGGATGGTATCCTTGAAGTGACTGGCTTGACTCTGAAGGAGCTGGGGAGGTGACGGCCGACAGGGAGCTCTGGCATGGGATGATCCATGCGGTCTCGGAGAGTCGGAAGTGACTGAACGAATGAACAACAACAAGTTTTTAACTAGGGGATGAGAATAGAGACTGAAGCTTGAGATTGTTTCACATTCTGGTTTAGAAGACTAATATTAAACTGCATTCCCCATTTGATTGGTAATAGATAACTGAGGTTTAATTAAACTGGGCCTTCTCGGTGGTAGCCCCTCGGCTGTGGAACGCCCTCCCCACGGATATTAGACTAGCTCCATCATTAATGGTATTCCGCAAAAAAGTGAAGACCTGGTTGTTTAAGCAGGCGTTCGAATAGTCAGTGCAGTGAGTGTAATGAACATAGGAATGGAACAATGGATGACGGATCTGGATCACGTTTTTAGTGATGAGATGTTAGTGAATGGCTGTTGTTGTTAATTGTATATTATTGTATAATGTGATACGAGGTTAACTGTTTTATACTGTGTTATTGTAGCATTGAATTTTTGCTGGTTTTGCTGTTCTTGTTGTTAACCGCTGTGAGTCGCCTAAGGGCTGAGAACAGCGGTATACAAATAAAGTAAATAAATAAATAAATAAATGTTAACACTGAGAAAGGGAGGAAACAACAACTGATAACATTCTTAACTGATAAAACTATAATTTAGCAAGGCAAAAGCTATGTGTCAAAACTAAGCCACTTTCTTTTTTAATATTCGAAGTATGTATGTACATGCACACACACAAAAACACACAACATACTTATTCACAACAGCATTTTAAAGTCATAGCTCATCCTTCACAAAGAGATATACAGAGACAAGTATTACAAGATGTAAATCTGTTGACTAACTGGCCTCATTTGCTGTCACTTAGGACGATATGGAGGGCTCAGGGCTACCATTTGTTTCTGCTGTCCCTGGAGCACGTGGACCAGAAGGGCCACAGGTAAATTCCTCATTCCTTTGCTTTCTTTTTTCCCTGCATAAGATCAGAATATAGGCACAGCATGAACTAGGAAGCATCTATACTTTAGAATGAATGCAATTTGACACCACTTTTAATGCTATGGAATCATGGGAGTTCTCATTTTAGGAGGTCTTTCTTTGCCAAATAGTGCTGGTGCTCATGAAACTACAACTTCCAAGATTCCATAGCATTGAGCCATGGCAGTTAAAGTGGTGTCAAACTGAATTAATTTTACAGTGTAGATGCATCCAAAGTAAGCTTTACCTCTGAGTAAACATGCATGGGATTGTACTGTAAATCAGTTTAATGATTTCACAATGTCCCTCCAGTCCTTTCAGGACTTGATTCCAGACTGGTCATGTTTTATTTCTGTCAGTAAAGACTTGCAGTCTTAGAAAGTTTTCCATCCTTGGAAAGTCTGTCTTGATTTTCTCTATTGCAAGAGATATGTCAGGCAGGTTTTTCACTGGACATTCATTAAAGCCTTTATGTGTTACTACTGCTCTGCTAACATTACTCTTGCAAAGACAGGTTTTCTAGTGCTGAGGTACCTATTATTACTAATGACTACATTATAGTTGAATGCCAGGTTACCTCTGAAATGTACATATCTTTTCTGTAGAGTCTGCTATATATAACCTGAATTGCTGATCTTACACTCTAGCACTAAATTCTGCCATTATATTAAGCAATGCTAAGTGCACAAAATATATGTATAAATATGTTTTGAGAAGACAATGTTGTCATACTTTTTCTGAAATCTAACAGAACCAATGAAAGTTTATTTCTCTTTTTGTAGGGTCCACCAGGACTTCCAGGACCCAAGGTAAGGTATTGTTTGGATTGTGTTTAAATTGGTTGTTTGGTAGGAAACTCAAACCTGTCTTTTGTAACAAAACTAAAATATCTGCTCTTGCTGACATAATGGATTTCCCATAAAATATTAACATTAGCTCCAAATTATGAGTGCCAGGTACCTTCATTCTGTAACCTTCATTCTAATAGCACCAGAAGATTACTGATAGATATGCAAGTGAGCATTTTGTGTTATGTGTGAATCAGGGTGCATATCACTACATATCCTACTCAATAGCCACAGATGTGTGCTGATACCACAAAAATCCCTTTGTATGCCACCTGGGACCATTGGAGTAGCTTGGGAGGTGTGAGATTCTTCATCTAGACAATAACACAAGCTTTATGTATTTTTTATAACTTTCAGGGAGATCCTGGCACTCTTGGTCTCCCAGGTATCCCGGGACCGAAGGTAAGCCCATGTCATAAAATCTATGGAATATATGGGGGAAATGCCTTCACTTTTAAAGCAGCATTTTGTTAATGGAAGTTGAATTGGGTTGCTGAATAGAATTTGTGATAAATTTGATGGTTTTTTTCCCTTTTGCTTACAGGGACCTCCTGGATTGCCAGGTCTGGATGGGCATCCTGGATCAACGGGTTTACCAGGACCTAAAGTAAGTATGAATCTCAGTGCAGTAATTCCCCCAGCTTCCATCTTAAAAAGTCTCTTGCTATCAGTCACGGAAAATGATCTTCTACAATGGTTTCTTTTTTTAAAGTCTGCTTATTGAAAATTAAAATAACTCTAGAAGTTCAGAAGCACAGAACTGCTGAAAACAATCTTTAAAGTACACAGCAGTCCTATTCCGATCTTTTTTGTGTGATATTTGTCCCTAAACAGTGATAGTATTGCGTTCCTCATCTCTGAATGATTACAGAACTCAAATATTCCATTAATGTGTATAGCTTTCAGCAGGCAAATGTTGATGAGAGAGAGAGAGAACATTGTTCTTCTTTGTTGTATATGTGAGGAGCAGATGGTGTGATGGTGGCTTACCCATAGTTACCCCATAGGTCCATGGCTGAAGTGGGAGTTCAGGCAGGGTTGCTGGAACTAAGTACAGGCTTCCATCTGCTGGACCACACTGACTGCCACTGGCAACACACTCCCTCACTAGACACAGTTCTCCTTTGTGTGAAATGGTTTCCTTCCTTAAAAATGCCTTTTAAATTCCTCTTATTTCTCATTTCAGGGAGAAAGGGGTGACAGAGGGGACACAGGGACTAAAGTAAGTACCACCCAAAATTTGAGGATAAACTGATCATTGTTTATTTCTGAGTTTGATATTTATCATGGGGAATTTGGTTGTGGTTGTGGTTTATTAAGGCTGTGCTCATTAGTATTTTAGGACAGCACATTCCTATACACATATGTGATCTAACATATCTTCTCAACTCTCCATTTCACCAAGCATGTGTACTGCTTTCTCCTTTGTCCTACCAGCAAACATTATGACCTGTAGTCAGGAAGTTTCTCTATGCCAAAACCTCTTAATGGGTAAATTGGGAGAAAGGTTGCTGTACAGTACAATGTATGATTACTGCTTCTTATTTGAGTGCTGATTTTTTTTTTTCTGGAAAGTGAAGAGAGCAATTTGACTTGTCCCAATTGAACAGTGTTGCAATAATCCTTTAAACACCAGTGTAGATCTCTACCTATGTGTTTTTCACAGTGCCACGGGGATACAAATTGGCTAGAAGGTGGGCTGATAGTTTTAGAATTAACTACCTAAAACTCAACTGTGTTTCCCATTTTTTTTTCTTTTGAGGGCGAACCAGGTCAAGATGGCATAGGACTTCCAGGTCCACCTGGGCTTCCTGGTCCCCCAGGACAAATCATCCACCTATCCAGTGATGATGTAAGCATATTTGTATTTTCTGTTTTTAAAATACTTCCCTTTTGCTCTTACTCTTCTAGAACAATGGAAGGAAATCGTTCATTTTTTTTTTTGATATGGGTACAGTAGTCGCATTGGCCCATGAATAAGTCTAGCCAGGTTTTGGGTTAATTTTTTTGGCTTAAACATTCTGGACTTTTACTTGGATAATGACACCAATGTTCTATATTCTAGCTAGGTAAGAAGTATGATCTGTTTGTCTAAATTACTCATACAATCCTTTACACATTTAATAGGGAGTGAGGCTGATTGACCTTAGTAGAACTGAATGGATTGTATTGTCGAAGGCTTTCATGGCTGGAATCACTGGGTTGTAGGTTTTTTGGGCTATATGGCCATGTTCTAGAAGCATTCTCTCTTGACGTTTCGCCTGCATCTATGGCAAGCGTCCTCAGAGGTTGGGAGGTATGTGAATGGATTGTGTTACAATTCCTAGTTTAGGCAGATGAATCCTCATGCTATGGAAATAAGAACTTTGATATTAAGTCTGAGATCTGTTCCATCCCACATTATACTTACCAATTATTTCCAATTTCTGTTAAACCAACAGTATCAGCTATGGTTGAGTTAACAGAATTTATCAATTGTTTATAAGGATAGTCAGATACAGACATTATTGTCTGTACGTCGAATGTTTTAGTATTATTACTCAGATTTGTTTAGCACTTTAGAACAGGATTTAGTCTTCTTGCTAAAATATTTTTTTTTTATTTTTAGACAAATTTACCTTTGTTGCCAGGCCCAGAGGTAAGTAAAATGCAATCAGTTTTCATTCCTTTATTCTGAGTTTTAGAAATGGATCTCTGTAATACAAATTTCCAAGAAAATAAAAGTAGCTGCATAGCAAGCTATAACATAAACTGGTTGATAATATTCTAGAATACTGTTGCTAGTCTTCACCAGGATGGAGTTAGTGGAGTGTAGCTTTGTGTCGCCTGTCTGTAGTTGAGTTAGTGGATCTCCTTTGGGGACTAACAACTAGAATTCAGGCATTTGGATTTTGTGCCTTGTGTCTGGAAATGTATTTACAATAGTTAACAAGAGCAAAGAGTTTACGAGTGTGAGGTTGGACCACACCAAAGGCATTTCTAGGCCAGCCTTCTTGTCCCACGGTGGTCAGCCAGATGCTTGGAGGATGTCCAGAAGCAGGAACAAGTACAATTGCATCTTTCCACTCATGTTCCTTAGCAATGGATAGTCAGAGGCAAAGCTGGCCTCTCCTACTTACGGATTCTTTCTGAATTTGTAGTGATTACATTTAAATCATTGCTGTCTCTGATGTATGTAAGAAAACCCCAACATACTAAAACAATTCACACCAGCTTGCTGCTTATAATATTTTCTCTAGCCTTTTCTGATAGATAATATTCCATTTTCTTATTGCAGGGCAAACAAGGGCATGCTGGGTTCCCAGTAAGTACCTTTCCTTGTCATAATTGTCAGCCATAGCAAGCTGCGCTCTTGTTATGAATTTTCGACTGCTGTATAGTTTTGCTGCTTATTGGATGGGTAGGTGGATCTCAGAAGACTGGATTTTCTATCACTTTTTCTGAAAACAGGGGGAAAATTCATCAGCCATTCAAGTCAGCATTGTAAATATGTCTATACGAGCTGCTAGGATCTGATCCTGCTTCTTATTTTAAAGGACTGAACTTCCCGTGTATTCTGACTTTGCACCTTACTAGCATGGGTTTTATTTGTGTGTGTGTGTGTGTTGAAGCCTACTTTTGATTGTCCAACAGGACTATCCATTATATGTAACTGACCTCTTTAGAACTTGAGTAAATAAATGTTCTAAAAATAAATATGTGAGCAGGCCCTCAATGGTTTTATAGTAGGGTTTCTCCAGATTTTTCTGCAGTTGACAGTCCCCAACAAGGCAGCAACTAATTCTTATGGAGAGTAATTTGCTTGAGTTTATCCTCAGAGCAGCCTCATTGTTTGACCAAATAGACTACAGGAGAAGAGCAATAAATAGTTCTTTTAGTGATCGGGGGTCCTCCTGATGTTTTGGACAGCAGTTCTCATGACGCCAAGTTAGCATGGCAGATGGTCAGGGGTTGTGAGTATTTAGTTCATAAAAAATCTAGAAGCCATCAGTACAGGCCTTCCTTAAGTTACAAAGAATATAGGTTCTGTAGGATTGTTCTTAAGTTCAATTTGTACATAAATCAGAGCAGTTACATTTTAAAGTGTAACTCCTGCCAATATATATATTTTAAAGCTTTGGGTAGCATAAGGGTCAACATTCTTGTAATGTTTGATTTCCTGTCTGTGCCCCTTTTCCAATAGATTTTGCCTCATTTTCTGTCTGTGTGATAATTAGATTTTGAAAAAAAAAAGCTTGTTGTGGAAATAAGGATTGGTGATAAATCTTAAGTGGAGACACCTTTTCCCATGATAATTCTTTCAGGAATGAATTTTTCTTCTTCTTTGTGGTCTCAGTGAAATCACACATACAGGTCTTGTATGCAAGTGCAAGGCAACTTGAAATTCTCTATAGCTTTAAGAGGTTTCCTAGTGGTAGCCTCGCCCATCCTGTCCTAGAGGATATCAAGCCATCATGTGAGGCTGGCACTTCAGTTCCTTTTGTCCGCAGCAGTTAGCAGCAGCAAGGAAATTATCTTAAATAAATTGCCTATATTAGTGTTTTGGACTCGGATTGGCTTGACTATTCTCCTGCCTTTTCCCTTACTTTGGTCTTTATGATGACCTTTGGATAGTTTGACTACTCTTTGGTTACTCCTCCTTGGTGGTTTTTTCCTGTGTTTGGCTTGGACTTGTTTTTGACTACTCTTTCACTCACTATTAAAATTGACCATTGGATTTGGACTGACTACTCTTACCTGTGCCGCTCTTGGCTTACTCCTTCCCTGCACTGCCATACTCACCTGTCTTCTAATTATGATTACCTTTGTTAAGAAATGCACAGTGTGTAGGGAAAGTCTTCCAGACACAGATGGACATTCAATGTGTCTGCTCTGCTTGGGGGCGGCTCACATCGTAACGATTGCCATATCTGCCAGACCTTTGCCCCACAAGCGAATAAGAGCCGAGAACTGTGCCTGAAGACACTCCTTTACGAGTGGGCACTTTTGTGGTTAAGAAAAGGGGCTCCTCGGAGCCTCCAACTGTCACCACTGCCACAATAACCCCTGAGCCATTTCAGACATGGGTGATGGATGCGGGAACACCTCCTGTGGAGGGAGGCTGCCTCACTGGGTTTCCCTCCTCACTGAGTCTCCCTCCTTGCCCCTGCAGCACAGTTCTCTAAATAGGACAAAAAAACCAAGAGGAAATCGGCAATGCTAGCATTTTCTTTGGGCCTGCCAATGCCACTCCAGCTGGCATCACTAGGGCAAAAATCCTCACCTGCACCTGCCTCACCTATTTGCAGGAGCATGGATGCAGCTGCACTTCATTCTCAGGCATTGCCTCCCTTGAAAAATGCTTCTACAAGCACCTCATGCACAATGCCTCCTCCCTCTCTTGTAGAGAAGTGTGATCACCAATATGCAAGCACCCATCAGTTGGGGATTCTGTTGCTGGTATTACAGAGCCACTCGCACTATTCCCCCATCCAAGGCCCTTTGGGACAGAGAACCCATATTTCTTCGTGGTCTCTGTGAAATTGCACCTATGGAATGGGCCCTGTTCAGGGAGTTCTCCTTACCTACAATATGGCTTGAATGATCCCCCTTCACCTTCATGAGGGTCTCTCAGCAGCCATTCTTATAGCTCTTTGCAGGCATCATCTTGAGGCTCCCCTTGCAGAGAGGTCTTTTATGGCTGGGATCTGCAGTATATTATCCTTCGTGTCCCACTACAAGCTGGATGATTTCTCCAGGAGGATGCTGCCTTTGGCAGAGCTGTGCTTTTTTCCTGTGTGGCATGACTCCCTCCTCCAAGATGGGAAGCTGGCTACTCACCCATAGGTGCGATTTCACAGAGACCACAAAGAAGAATGGGTTGCTTACCTCTAAACATGGTTACAGGTAAGCAACCAGTCATTTCTAGGGATAGATTCTCTCACTTTCTGTTGTCTTACCCTGTTTTTATCTATAAGTTGTTTGTAAGTCAGATGTTTGTAACTTGGGAACTGCCTGTACTATATTGCCCTAAGAGGAAGGGGGATATTAGAGGTGGGAGAAGGGAATGCTGGAAAAAAGAATTGTTCTGTTGATTGCCTCTTGTTGAAAAGATTATGTTTGAAGATGATTGCCTTGATTCCTCAGCTGCCTCTATGATTCCATCTATAGGGGCCTGTTGGACCAAAAGGTGATATTGGATCCCCAGGTTTTCCAGGCTCTCCAGGACTTAAGGTATGACAATGCAAAACACTTTCTTTAAACTTTCTAGTGTGTATGTTGGTCAAAAAAGGACACATTTCTCAATTGGCTCTAAATCTTGTTGCTGTTTTGTCCAATTTTCTTTCCAAAATTAGAAGTATCCACTATTTTTTGCGGGGTAGATGAGGGACTGCCTTAGTGTTACAGTGATTTATTAGGAGATATGCTGTATGACAGCCAAAAGCCCATTATTTTAGTAACAGCAAAAGATCTATATAAGAATTAACAGCAAATGTATATAATAGCATCTTAAATTTCTCATTTTAACTTTTGTGTCTTGGAATTTTTAACAATGTATTTTTAATTTGTTTTAAGCCGTTTTGAGTCCCAAACTGGAGAAAAGGTGGGAGAGGAGTAGTAGTAGGAGGATTCTAGGAGTAGTAGTGAGAAGGGAAAGGGCACTTTTAGGATTAGCCAAAAACTTGCATTACTTGCTCATGTCAGCCAGTCAACATGCAAAATTGCATGTTGTAGATCTGATCCATCATCTAGCTGATGGATAGAAGTAGGCTTTTCTAGCGTAGAGTCACACAGCTAGGTTCTGTTGGCTGGTTCACCTATGTAGCAGTGGTTGGAACAAGCAGCATAATTCTGAACAAACCCTCAGTTTTCAAAATATATGAAAAATCTTTTCGTAAGTAGGACAACATTTGAGAATAATTGCATGCATGTAATGTATTGTTGAAGGCTTTAATGGCAGGAATCACTGGGTTGTTGTAGGTTTTTTGGGCTTCTAGAGCATGGCCATACCGCCCGGAAACCTACAACAACGCATGTGTGTAATGTTGTAGAATTGCAGAGGAAAGGGGTAAAGAAAAAAGAAAAGAAATACAATAGAAAACGCAGACCAGATTATTGTACAGGTTGAGCACCCCTTATCTGGAATTTCAAAATCTGAAGTACTCTAAAATCCAAAATTCTCCACATGGGTGGCTGAGGCAATGATATCTTTCCTTTATGGGGTATGGTTCGCCATACACAAACTATTTCATCCACAAAATCATTGCAAATGTATAAAATTAGCTTCAGGCTATATGAATAAGTTGTATATGAAACAAATGAATGTTGCATCCCAACTTGGGCCACTTCTCCAAGATATCTAATTATATACATACCCGTATATTCCGGCATATAAGACGACTGGGCGTATAAGACGACCCCCAACTTTTCCAGGTAAAATATAGAGTTAAGACGACTCTCATGCATAAGACTACACCCCGCATATAAGACGACCCCTAACTTTTGAGAAGATTTTCTTGGGTTAAAAAGTAGTCTTATATACCAGAATATACTGTATATCCAATATCCAAAATATTTCTCACCCCAAGTATTTTAGATAAGAGATACTGGTACTAGATTGTGGTCTATACATTGGGATACATTTCCTTTGGAATGTTACATTAAATTTTGTAAAGTTAATGATTTGATAGAAGACTTGTCTTCATTCCTGTCTTTCCCTTCTCTGAATAGGGTGACAAGGGAGAACCAGGAGTGATTATTGGCCCTGATGGAACAGTTATAGCAACTACTTCAAAAGGAGAAAAGGTAGAAAAATAACATATTCTGTTTTTCTTTGAAAAATATTGCTTACATACCCAGTTCCAATTTTCTGTAGTGAAAAGGTGGAAGACTACATTTTGCATGGTGCATGGTGCTTTGAATGCAATTGTCCTGCTTCTTGGCAGGGGGTTGGACTGGATGGCCCATGAGGTCTCTTCCAACTCTATGATTATATGATTCTGAGCCAGGAGCAAAACCCTCTTAAACAAGCAGAAAGATCGTGGGTCTCTGACTCCATTGTGCTCCTGTGCTCCATTGTGCCCCACCCCATTTTACTTTTTGATTTTGAAAAAAAAATCACTGGGATTTCAGAGATGTGAATTCCATCTAAAATCTGTTGGGAACCACTTACATCAGTGTTTTTCAACCTGTGGGTTGAGATCCCTGGGAGGGGGGGGGAGGTCATGAGAGGGTGTTAGAGGGTTTGCCAAATACCACCAGGAAACAGTATTTCCTGTTGATCATGGGGGTTTTGTGTGGGACATTTGGCCCAATTCTGTCATTGGTGGGGTTCAGAATGCTCTTTGATTCTAGATGAACTATAAATCCCAGCAACTACAACTTCCAAATGTCAAGGTAGATTTTCCCCAAACTCCACCAGTGTACACATTTAGGCATATTGAGTATTTGTGCCAAGATTGATCCAGATCCATCATTGTTTGAGTCCACAGTGTTCTCTGGATGTAGGTGAACTACAACTCCAAAACTCAAGGTCAATGCCTGCCAAACCCTTCCAGTATTTTCTGTTGGTCATGGGAGTTCTGTGTGCCCAGTTTGGCTCAATTCCATCATTGGCAGAGTTCAGAATGGTCTTTGATTGTAGGTGAACTATAAATCCCAGCAACTACAACTCCCAAATGACAAAATCAATTCTCCCCCCAACTTCACCAGTATTCAAATTTGGGTGTATCAGGTATTTGTGCCAAATTTGGTTCAGTGAATGAAAATACATCTTGCATATCAAATATTTACATTACGATTCATAACAGTAGCAAAATTATAGTTATGAAGTAGCAACAAAAATAATTTTATGGTTGAGGGTTGCCACAACATGAGGAATTGTATTAAGAAGTCGCTGCATTAGGAAGATTGAGAACTACTGACTTACATTGTATTGCACTCACACCATTCAAATCTTGTCCAGAAGGAGAGCTGATATTTTATAGGCTGGTTATATGACAAAAACTACCCCCCCCCCCCACACACACACCTTATTTGGTGTTATGTTTGGAATACTTTCCTCATAACTGGCCAGGAGGTTACAAGGGAGTCATCAGGCATGGCCTCCAGCAACTTTCAGGCAAATTGTTGTCAGTATTTGCATTAGTTATCAACAGTGTAATCTGTGCATTGATGTGCTTTATGGCCAGTGTTGATTAAGATATACCTTCCTGTTGTCTGTGTAGAGCAGGAGTGAGAATCTTGTGGCCCTTCAGAACTGCAACTTTCATATCCTTACCATTGGATATCCTTGCTAATTATGCTGGGAACTGCAGTTCAACATTAAGCAGAGGGCTGAATCCTTTCACACTACACAATGCATTATGATTTTTGGGTACTTAGATTGGGACACTTAAAATTCTCAGCCTGAGAGCTTCTCTGGCACCTCTAACCAAACTAAAGGACTAGAATTCCATAGGATAGAGCTGTGTCAATTGAAGTGGAATCATAGCGCTATAACTGTGTACTGTAGAAGTGCTTCATATAGAGCATCCCTTCTTTCTTCATAATTCTGCAAGAGTAGCAAGTGGATTGACTGTATTGAGACGAAAGGTGATCTAAAGCAATAGCTATCATGGCACTGCTGTATCTGAAACTATCCTGGGACTTGAAAATGTTCTGCTTGCCATCTCCTAACCTTTTAGCCCCATGTTGATCACCCAGGCAAAATAATGTGGGATGCTCTTTACCATCCATCCCATACCTGGTGGCTTCCAAATATGATTCAAATACACATTAATTTCTAAAGCTAGGTGGGGGTGATGAGTATTGCAATCCAACAGAGGATGCCAGGTTTCAAAAGGCTGCTCTAATAGAAACATCCTTTTCTAATGGCCTTCACTTTTTGTATCCAGGGTGAAGGAGGCCCAAGAGGACCCATAGGACCATTAGTAAGTTACAAATTGTATCTTTTCTTCCATACAAGGGATTAACATAGATGTAAACATGTCATTATTTCACTGGTGAAACATTTATATTTTTATAATATCATTTCTATGTTATTTTTCTTGTTCCTACATTTGAAAATATAGCAATGCTTGACAAAGAAACTGCACAAAACATTTCAGTGTTTGTCTTCCCCTCACTTCAAGGAGGATAAACACAGAGGATGGTAAACTGTTAGGAGTTTGAGGAAGTTGTACCTCTCTTCATCAGGTTTTCTTTTCCAGTTGAAACCAAACATTCTGTATTTTCTGAATATGCCAAATCTTTATTGAGTTGGGGTTTGGGGGCAACTCATCAAGGCCATTTTTAATGTATTTGTGCAAACTCTGAGATGTTTTTGTGTTGCTCCGTTTTTGTCAGCCATCTCAGCAACCACCACAATATTGCTGTTACAATGAAGGGTCATCTTCCAGCTTACTTCATACATTGTGCATGACATATTAGAGCCAGTACAAGAATTTACATTTTGCAGTCTCTTGTCTTTCTAATTCAGCCTTATGCTACTATTTTCCTTTCCTTTCCTTTTTTCTGTTTCCTTTTATAGGGGCCACCTGGGAGGCCTGGGCAGAAAGGAGAAATTGGCTTTCCTGGAAGACCTGTAAGTATTATTAATAATTTTAGATGTTTCTTTCCAGTGTATATTATTGGAGTAGAGTGGGAAATGAGAATGCCAAACTGGATGGGACCTGGTAAACAGTGCCAGCTCTCAGTTAGACAGTGATTTACATAGAAGGCTTCAGAAATTAATTGCTAAAACATTGAACCATCAATAAGGAAAAAAGGAAATAATTTTCAAATAACTCCAGGCCTCACTTCATACACCCGGCTTCTCTTTCCTTCCTTGTGAAACTTCCCAACTATTTCTCTTTCCTGGATGAGATTATGACCACACCAGTCCTTCTAATGCCAAAGATTCCCCTGAAGCCCAATTTGAAACAGCCATCCTTTCTTCAGCCAAGATGTACTCAAGTTGTGTCAAAGAAATCCCACAAGCACTTCTCCGCCATTTTATATACTCACCACTTCCATAGATTTCCTGGAGTGATTGCCATACTCTAATCTTAACCACTGACTCTAGCAGGGTTGTGTCAGGACTAAGAAAAGACAGAGGTCATCATGTGAAAGCAACCTTGAACTTTATTCAGGGATCTGTAATAATAGCAAGGGTGTCATTATCTATGTGTATGCAATAGCTGTAGCCCAAAGGTGGGAATTGTATGGTCCTCCAGATGCTGCTGGAGGACCATACAATCAATCTCCTGGCTGCCATAACTCATCCTAGCCAATGATGAGGAAAAGTGGGAATTGCAGCACAGCAACATCTCGCCTCACATAGACAGTCCTAGCCCTCTCTTGAGTAGTCAGTCATTCAAGACAAAACCACAATTCAGCATTTTCCCTGTTCAATGCTTTTTGGATACAGGAGTGGAAGGAGCAGATCTGGAGATACTGTTTATTTCTTCTTTTAGCCTTTTCACACCATACTATGTGTAAAAGAAAGATAATGGTTACAGTGCTGTGGGTAGATGGTTTGAGTGCGGAGTATCGAAAAGACTGTATTTTTTTTAAAGATTTTATTTAAATACAATAACAACTTACAAAATAGACAAAACCCAAAACAGTGAACATTTTACAAACACATAACCCCACCACCAAGGCCTGAACAAGTATAATTTCCTTCACCATGTATGTATAAATCAGCCATTAATCAAATGTCATCTCCAAAATTCCTGACCAACCAAATTCTGTTGTTTTCCATTTTCGCTCTCTAAGACATATTTAATAAAGACCGACCAGTATGTCTCAAAATATGACCTGTTAATTTCCCCCCTGAATACCCTCATTTCCATTGTTAGTTTGTCGTTTAAAGCTACATTCCAAACTTCCCTATACCATGCATCCAGTGTTAGATTGGTTATTATTTTCCAGTTCTTTGCTATTATAATTCTTCCCACTGTGAGCAAAATAGTCACCAATTCTTTCTTAGTTATTTCTACATTCAGCTTCGTGGTGTCCATTAATAATGCTAACCTAGCATCCGGCATAATATTTGATCCTATAATGTTGTTTATTTCGGTAAATATATCCTTCCAAAAATTCTTCACTTGGGGGCATTCCCACCATAGATGAAAATATGTCCCTTTGTGTTTGCCACATCTCCAGCAGAGGTTACTTTGCTTGCTATCCATCTGATGTTGTTTGACTGGCGTAGTATACCATCTCCATATAACTTTGTATACATTTTCTTTTAATCTTATTGATAGGTTCTTAGCCACTCTCCACTTCAGGACCCTTTTCCAATCAAAATCTATCAGAGGCCCTAGGTCTCCCTCCCATACGTTTTCTAACAGCTTCAGCCCTATTTCTTCACCAATTAATCCATTATATATTTTCCCAATTAATCCTTTCCCCATTATTTCTTGGTTTTTGAGCTTACTTAACCATTCCTCATATTTATTCAGTGCTCTACATCCGGGATTTTTGCTTAACCAGTCCTTTCTCCAATTATACAGCTGTTGTCTCTCAAACCAATTCAGGGCACCTTGTTCTTCTAACTTACTAAACTTGCCCTTTGAGTTTTGTGTCCATTCCTTCCAGGAGAGAGCAGTTTCCCCCTCCACTAATTTTTTATGTTTAAGTTTAATTCTCAGGTCTTCTGGAAAATTTTCCAGTAAAACTATTGGAGTTAGGGGGGAAACTCCTGGAAATATCTTATTTTTTAATTTAACCCATGTCGAAAAGACTGTATTGACGCGTATGAGCTGGCCCAAATTCTGACACCCTCAAAGGAGGGCTTTCAGTTTTGCCACCATCTCAGGCACTTGTGAGGACATTAAGAGAGAGATTCTCAGTGGATGCTTTTTGGCTGTGGAACCCCTTCCAAGGCAGGTGTTGTTAGACACGCCACTGATCTCCTTCTTAAATAGGAGGTTAAGATCTCCTATTTAGGCAGGCTTATGGTTTCTCACATGTTGAAATAGCATTGATAGTGGTGTGGTATGTTTTTATCTTGCATGCTTTTATGTATTTTAAACTGTTCTTAATTATCTGCTTTTATTAGACTTGTTGACTAACTTTTTGTAACTTCTGTGTGTAGCATTTTAACAAAGTTCTGTTTTAAATTTTGTAATCTGCCTTCCTCAGTGGGAGGAAGTCAGGGTATAAATTGAATAAAGTAAAACAATAACACATTTTCACATTTGTGTTGCATCTCAAATGGGCCCAGTATGCTTTATTTCTTCTTTGCAGGGTCGCCCTGGTATGAATGGACTGAAAGGAGAGAAAGGTGACCCTGCTGATCCCAGCGGAGGGTTGGGTTTAAGGGTGAGTGGAAATGTTTCTATTTAACTTCCATGCTGAAGGCACACATGTTACTTGTGCTCTACCTGTGCTCCCTCAGCACCTGGAGTGGGGATTCTCAAGCTCTAGCATTATGTGAAAAAGAAAAAAACCACAAGCCTTCCAAGGTGCATCTAAAAACAATGATGTTTTTGCTGTTGACCTAGTAGTTAGTATTAGCGTAAGACATCTGCGGAAGCTGAATACAGAGAAGCATTGTGGCAATCAAGTCCACTGTATAGGAGAGTATCCTGTGAATTTGTTCCCCTTCCTTGGTGTAATTCTGCATTTGGTCTCAGGGGATAGAATTAGAAAGAGAGGCAATATTTCTAATACTAGTATTCCAGTTTTCTCTCATGCTCCACTTGAGAAACATATATATTCACACTGCTTCTACCACTTGGTTTCTGGGGAAGGACCTTAGACAATCATGCAGATATTTGCCAGTGCACTGGAAGAATCATTTCCTCAGATATCTTTATTGCACAACCTAGTCATGGATGATGGCTAACAAAATAACTTGAAGTCTTTCTGCTACAGTATGAACTTTGCAAAGCATGGGAGAGTAATTATTCCTTCTCTTGAGTGGGTGGTGGAAGGAAACTGCGTGTGTTTTTTTGTGATAGCTGATGTTACATAAGATAAAGAGACACAGCAAACTTTAGTGTACATTCCACTGCCTATGTTTTCTTCCTGTTGTTCATCTCTTGAGTTGACTATGAATCCTGAGTTTAAATGTCATGGTCTATGCCAGGATTTTCACCCTCAGTAAGAACAGATTTAAGGGCCTAAACATTCTAAAGATGATATATCCTGTCTTTGTCATGAATACTTTTTAAACAAAGGTTCTTTTTATTCCAATTTCAATGTGAGAGGTTATATCAGAGCAACTTCTACACTTTTACACAAAGGATGACATTAGACATACAGTCTCTATATAACTACATTGGATACACAAACAAATTAAAGCTACCTTGACTAACAAACAAGGAGGATTTTATCACATCTACTCAGCATTCACACTACACACACACAGTCATTAATTACATGCATACATCACCATTATTCCTCTGTCTCCTGGAGAAGAACACCTGCACTTAGGCCAGATTGCTTCCCTGGAAATCTGCCACTTTTCCAATACTTTCAACACTTCCAATGCTTTTCCAAAATGCACTCCTTCCCATTCAACCTGTGGAGGCAGGCGACCAGACTTCTGCTTTCCATTGCAGATCTGTCACCCTGCAAATACATCTACTCTCTCTTCTTCCCATGGAGAAGAGCAGCGGGCAGGCCAAACACCTCTGGTCTGCCACAATTTTAGAATATTAGAAGGTCTCTTATATAGCAATATTTCTTGCTGATGTTGCTCCAAAAGTTGTAAATGAATGACAGGCAGCTAAAGCATATTGATTTTATTAGGTTCTGGACAGATGTTGACTTTACTTCCTTAAGTGATAATTGGTTTTCTTTCTTAAGAAAGAAGCATTGTTTGCTGCCTTCTTAACAGAGCATTATCTTTGACTATGTAAACATACTGTTTTCTACCAAGAGTTCAATGGTTAATCATTGTCACAGTTCTCATTAGCAACTTTTAATTACAGTTCAGCAGTGTAGTTGTTTTCCAGGCCTCAATATTTTAGAATTGTGTCTTCAGCCCAGTTAGGCCCCAGTCATACTTCTTTCAAACCACATATCATATTTATCCATCACATCTGATCATGGAAGCTGAGCAGAGTCAGCCTGTGTTAGTACTTGGATGGGAAGCCACCAACAAAGATGAGATGCTTTAGGCAATATTTCAGAGGAAGGAACTGGCAAAACCACATCCTAAGTATTCCTTGCTGAAGAAAACCATACGTTGATAGGAGACTTGAAGACATGTACTATAGCAACTTTAGAGCACACAGAAGCAAGATGGTTGTGCAGAGATTCTGGGTCACTTCTACACTTACAGGCCACATGAAGTTATTGGGTGCTTGTGTTTCTCTTTCCCTCTGTGTAGGGTCCTCCAGGGATTCCTGGCCCTCCTGGCCCACCAGGTCCTCCGGGCACCATGGTACCTGTTTATGACAATAATGTGAGTAAAGGCCTAAATACATTTCACTTGCTGTGCAAACATAGGGGCATATTATATTTAGCTCTGTAAATGCAATGAATAGTGATCTATCATAAATTGCAGTAAAACAATTCATGGGAAACTTTTTCTTAAAAATTTCAGGCCTTTGGTGATGTGGGCCCTCCCGGACCTCCAGGACTGCCTGGTAAGAATACGAGAAAGCCGGAGAGTGGGATTGAATGGAGGAAATTGGATGTTGTTATTTTCCCCATAAACTCTTTGGAGTAAATCTCTCTGCAAATTACGGAGTGGGCAATTTTCCAAGATTGGGAGTGGTGGTGGTCCAATGCAAATCCATGGGGGAGAGGCATAACATGACTAAATTTTGGTGCTGCATTTGCCATTAGAATGGTGCACATGTCCATCATCAGTTAAACTTTGGCACTTTAAGCTTTAAAGTTTCATGAGTGCTCCCAGGAGTTCTGGAAATTTGACTATATGTTGATTTATAACTCTCTTGTTATGTTGTACCTTGTCTTAGTTTTTGGGGGTTGACCAAGCTTTATGCCAATATTCTGTTTCAGGCTACCATGGTGCTCCAGGTCAGAAAGGCGATAAGGGTGACGTGGGCCCTCCAGGACCCCCAGGTAAGAAAGCTTGCAGTGTGATGCTTCTCTATGGAACTAACATTTCTTTAGCTGAGAGTTGTCATGAGTTTATCAGAAGTATGGAATAAGACTCCTGTGGTTTGATTCCTAAACTAACTAGAGCAGTTCTCACAGATTTTAAACCATGGAGCCCTTCTTGAACAAAAGTTTCTCATGGAGCCCAAAGAAACTTTTGGACACAGGGGACACATTGCATTTTACAATTAGACAGATAGGCTGGGAGCCCCTCTCAGGAAGCAGGCCTCCCTCGCCCCACAAAAAAAGGGAATTCCGTCCTGCAAAAAGCGGCCTCTCCACTGGTGGTGTGGCCTATAAGGCCTCCGCAATGGTGGCATGTTTCTACAGGCCACGGGGCAAAGGGCTCTGTGGAGTCCCTGACTGTGCTTTGCGGAGCCCTAAGGGCTCTGCGGAGCACAGTTTGAGAACCACTGAGCTAGAGTTTCCTCCATAAATACTGATGCCACAGTATACTTCTTGGCCCATGACAGAAATGGGAATCATGCAGATGTTGTTAAGTCCCAGCAGTTTTAGGTAACATTGTCAGAGGAACCAAAGCTATATACAGAAGAGGCACAGAAGAGGCACATGAAGGCTGGATCTACATTGCATTGTAATCCACTTTCAGAATGTATATTATTTGCATTGAATTGGATTATATGACAGTGTAGACTCATGTAATCCAGTTCAATGCAGATAATCTATATTCTGAAAATGGATTATATGGCAGTGTGGTTTTTCCCTTTCACCTGTTCCCAGCATGAAAAGGCTTGGTTGAAGGCCTTATGTATAGAAGAGACAACTCTGAAAACATATGTATTGGCTTTTAAAATTCTAATTTAGGACTGATGCGCCCACTAAGTTTTGTAGCTGGAAAATTCACAACCATATGGTACATGTCAGTAAATGTGCATACATAACCAAGGAATACATTATCGAGTTTTGTGAGGAGACCAAATTATATCTGTAAAGATGGACTTGTTTTTAGGAACTAGCCCCCTCAGTCTAGGTGTTTGAGTTACTGAAGTTCCATAGCATCATTCTTTAAATCCATAATGTATCTCTCATAATTTTCTGACAAGAAAAATATGCAGAGGTTTCTAAAAGATATTTATTCTGCGTTCCTCTTTCGGTATTGGTTTCCCAGTCATAGGCCAATGACTTCCCCATCAGAAAGTTTTATGCCTTTTTTGTGTGGGAAGGGGTTAATCATTACTGTTTAGTTTTATGTCAAGAGTTGGTACAGGACTTTCCTTTGCATTCTGCTTTAGAAATCCCTTTAGGACAGCCTTTTTCAACCTGGTATCTTCCAGGCAGAAAGCAAAGGAACTTCAAATTGGAACGCACTGATATCTGTCATTCAAAACTAATTTTTCTCTCCTTTCCCCCAACAAAGGCCAGTTTCCTTATGATTTCAGCACATTTGATTCTCCCTTTTGGGTAAGCATTCTTCACTGAGAAGGAAAACGTACATGTATAAAGAAGCAAATTATAGGAAATGAGAGGATCAGTGGAAGATGAATGCATTGGGGCTAAGGGTAATGGGTAGGGCTTGACAACCTTCTTTCTCCTAACATATGTTTAGTGAAGCAGGGCAACAACATTAGTATGGAGACTTGGTGGAGCAATGGGTTAAACCTTTGTGCCGGCAGGATTGCTGACGGACAGGTCAGCTCTTTGAATCTGGAGAGAGCGGGTTGAGCTCCCTCTCCAGGTCTGCATGCAGGGACATGAGAGAAGCCTCCCACAAGGATGGTAAAAAACATCAAACATCCTGGCATCCCCTGGACAACTTCCTTGCAGACAGCCAGTTCTCTCACACCAGAAGCGACTTGCAATTTCTCAAGTCTCTCCTGACATGAAAAATAAAAAAAACCTGAAAGTATTTATTAAATATACTACATTTTTCTCCTTGCCCTGATCAGTTTTAATAGCAACCAGATATAGGGCACCTGGATATTTTTGCATTTCAAACTAGTGATTGTGCATGGCTACTCTAGAAATCCAAAATACTCCAAAATCCATAATTGTCCACATGGGTGGCTGAGATAGTGACACCTTTGTGCTCTGATGGTTCAGTGTACACAAGCTTTGTTTTGTGTAACAAATTATTAAAAATACTGTGTATTAAATGACATTCAGGCTATATTTATAATGTATAGATAAATTTTATGTTTAGACTTGGATCCCATTTTGATTTGTTTCTGTATGTACAAAGTAGATGTATATAATTTTCTACTCCTTGGTCCTTTGCTACTCTTTATTGGCATTGTTGTTTGGCAGTCCACTGAATGAGTCAATGCCAGATAAATACAACCTGCACCACAGGTATCTGTTAATGCAGTTTGATGCCTTTGACTGCCATGGCTCAATGCTATGGGATCATGGGAGTTGTAGTTTTACAAAGTCTTTAACCATTTCAGCCAGACTGCTGATGCCTCACCAAACTACAAACCTCAGGATTCCATAGCATTGAACCCTGACAGTTAAAGTGGTGTCAGACTGCATTAATTCTAAAGTGTAGGTACACTCAAATTGGTACTTCTATGTCTGCAGGGAATTGTAGCCAATGGTAGCTTTCAGTTCAGTAGCGGAAACTGGGACTGTGCTTCAACCCCCATTTTTTTCTTAGCCTTCTGTTAGTTATGGAGTTTTGTTTATTTACTTATGTATGTACTCCAGAAGGCACTTGCCTCACTTTTGGAGGTGAGGCAGATGGGCGCCTTTGGTTTGGTACCTGTATATTTATGTATTTAATAACTTTTCCTTAGGGAGAAAGACCGGAGAAAGGGGAGTCTGGAGAGAAAGGTCAAAAAGGAGAGCCAGGAGGTGGAGGATTATTTGGACCAGGAGCCGCTGGACTTCCGGGTCACCCAGGATACCCTGGTCCTCCGGTGAGAGATCCCACATCACACAGTGGGGAGGGTGGCTAATGTCTTTGCAGAGTGGTATAATCTGCTGGAATCTTTTTTTTTTTATGAAGTGGACAGAATGGGTGACCTAGATAGGGCTGTTGTTGTTGTTGTTGTTGTTGTTGTTGTTTTGTACTCTCATGTCTT